GCAGTATAGGGATAAACTAGCACATTAAGACAAGAAAAGAAATAAAGCTATAAAACTTGGAAAGGAAGTAATAAAACAATTATTTGTAAATGATATGAACTCCTACATTGAAAACTCTGAAGAATCTACTGATATACTATTTAAAATAAAAGAACTTATTAAGGTAAATGGGTATAAGATCAGTTCACGAAAATCTACTGCATTTTTATATACCACCAACAGTCAATTAGAAAATGTCAATTTTTTAGAAGTATCATGTATCAACAAAAGTATCAACAACAAAAAGTAAAGTTAACTAGAAATAAATCTAACCAAAAATGTACAACTCCTATATGCAGAAAATTATAAAACCTTATTGGAAGATTTTAAAGGGGGCCTAAATAACTGGAGTGATATACTGTTTGTGGATGGGAAGATTCAAATCACAAAGATGTCACTTCTCCCCAAACTGAATTATAGATTCCCTATAGTTCTGATCAAAACTCTAACAGGTTTTACCAATAAACTTGACACATTAATTCAAAAATTTATGAAACAAAGGCCAAGAATAGCCACAAAACTTCTAAAGAAACTTCTAAATAAGTAAACTACTGTGGGGCAATTGCCCTCCCAAATGTCACGCCTTATAATGAAGCTACAGCAATGAAGACGATACAAGAACAACCCAGAATAGAAAGTCCAAAATAAGCTCATACCTTTATAGAGACTTACTCTGTATCAGAGATGGCACCACAGCTCAGTGAGAACAAGGTAAGCTTTTCAATATATAGTGCTGGGATAATTGGTTACCCATATGGGAAAGAAATCAGATCCCTGCCTTACAACATATACAAAACATCCAGTTCTTATTAAAGACTTGGCTGTGAAAGGCAAACTTTTACAAATTTTAGGAGTAAAAAAGGAAGCTATCTTTATAACCACAGGTTAGGGAATGCATTCTTAAAATTAAGGACTTCTGTTCTCAAAACAGAAGTTTTGAGAACTTGAAAAAGACAAGCCAAAAATTGGTAAATGATATGAGTAACATGTAAACAGTAAAGGATCTGTATTCAGAAACCATAAGGAACTACCACCACTCAACAAGAAAAAGACAAACAACCCAGTAGAAAGGTGAACAAACTTGTTTGCAGAAAACAAAAAAGGTAAATTTTAAAAAACAGGAAAAGATACTACGCCAAAAGGCTATCAGAAGAGTGCAAATTAAAACCACAACTTAATTTTAACACAGATTTTCATTTAGATTGGCAAAGATAAAGAAGTCTGATAATACCAAGTTGTTGAGAATGTGGTGAGAATATAAACTGAGACAACCATTTTTGCATTATCTCATAAATCTGAACATTTGCATATCCTGATTCAGCAATTCCACACTTATGCACATATCCTCACATTTTAACTCATTACACCAAGAAACACACAGATGTATGTTCACTGTAGCAAGTTTCAGAATTTCAAAAAGTGAAAACAATCCAAATGTCCATTCACAATAGATAAATCCATCCTGGCATATTCACACAATGAGCTATTATACAGAAGTCTCAATATATAAACTATACCCAGATAAAATAATATGAATAAAATTCAGATTCATAGTGATGAATGAAAAAGCCATTCAGATTTAAAAACATGATGCATTTTTATAAACCTCAAAAAAAAGTGACTAAACAGTATCTTTGTGCATACATATATACAAATGCAGCAAAACACCATACAAAAGGAGAAAGACAAACATGAAGCTGAGGATGGCAGATATCTCTGGTGGGGAATCAAGGGGATAAGATGGGATGGTAAGGGGTGCATAGGTAGTTGTAACAATACTGGTCATGTTCTAGATTTTAGATTGGCGGATATGTTCATTTTAGGGTTACATAGTCTTTGGTATGTACATAATTTACATAATTTTTAAATGGGGGGAGAGAAGAACAAAGGGAGAGAGAGATCCAACTAAAGACCATGACAGGTCTACCTCAGAGATACCACAGGTTTGGTTCCAGACCATTGCAGTAAAGTGAATATTACAAGCCTCGCAAATTTTTGGTTTCCCAATGCAAATAAAAGTTATGTTTACATTATACTGTAGTCCATTAAGTGTGCAATAGCATTATGTCTAAAAATAAGCATACATACCTTAACTTAAAAATACTTTATTGCTAACAAAATGCTAAACGTCCTCTGAGCCTTCAGTGAGTCGTAATCTTTTTGCTGGTGCAGGGTCTTGCCTGGATGTTGATGGCTGCTGACTGATCAGGTCAGTGGCTGCTGAAGGCTGGGGTTGATGTGGCAATTTCTTAAAATAGGACAGCAGTGAAGTTTGCCACATCAATTGACTCTTCCTTTCATGAACGATTTCTCTGTAGCACGCAATGCTGTTTGAAAGCATTTTACCCACAGTAGAACTTCGTTCAAAATTGGAGTCAATCCTCTCAAATCCTGCCGCTGCTTTATCAACTAAGTTTATGTAATATTCTAAGTCCTTTGTTGTCATTTCAACAATCTTCATAGCATCTTCACCAGGAGATTCTGTCTCAAGAAACCACTTTCTTTGCTCATCCATAAGAAGCAACTCCTCATCTGTTAAAGTTTTATCATGAGATTGCAGCAATTCAGTCACATCTTCAGGCTCCACTTCTAATTCTAGTTCTCTTGCTATTTCCACCACATCTGCAGTTACTTCCTCCACTGAAGTCTTGAGTCCCTCAAAGTCATCTATGAGGGTTGGTATCAACTTCTTCCAAACTCCTGTTAATGTTGATGTTTGGACCTCTTCCCATGAATCACGAATGTTCTTAATGGCATCTAGAATAGTGAATCCTTTCCAGAAGGTTTTCAATTTACTTTGCCCAGATCCATCAGAAGAATCACTATCTATGGCAGTTATAGCCTTACGAAATGTGTTTCTTAAATAATACGACTTGAAAGTTGAAATTACTCCTTGATCCATGGGCTGCAGAATGGACGTTGTGTTAGAAGGCATGAAAACAACATTAATCTCACTGTACATCTCCATAAGAGCTCTTGGGTGACCAGGTGCATTGTCAATAAGCAGTAATATTTTGAAAGGAATCTTTTTTTCTGAACAGTAGGTCTCAACAGTGGGCTTAAAATATTCGGTAAACCATGTTGTAAACAGATGTGCTGTCATCCAGGCTTTGTGGTTCCATTTATAGAGCACAGGTAGAGTAGATTTAGCATAATTTTTAAGGGCTCTAGGATTTTCGGAGTGATAAATGAGCATTGGCTTCAACTTCAAGTCACCAGCTGCATTAGCCCCTAACAAGAGAGTCAGCCTGTCCTTTGAAGCTTTGAATCCAAGCATTGACTTCTCCTCTCTAGCTATGAAAGTCCTAGATGGCATCTTCTTCCAATATAAGGCTGTTTCATCAACATTGAAAATCTGTTGTGTAGTGTAGCCGCCTTCCTTAATTATCTTAGCTAGATCTGGATAACTTACTGCAGCTTCTACATCAGCACTTGCTGCTTCACCTTGCACTTTTACATTATGGAGATGGCTTCTTTCTTTAAACCTCATGAACCAACCCCTGCTAGCTTCAAACTTCTCTTCTGCAGCTTCTGCACCTCTCTCAGCCTTCATAGAGTTGAAGAGTGTTAGGGCTTTGCTCCGGATTAGGCTTTGGCTTAAGGGGATGCTGTGGCTGGTCTGATCTTCTATCCAGACCACTAAGACTTTCTCCATATCAGCAATGAGGCTGTTTCGCTTCCTGATCATTCGTGTGTTCACTGGAGTAGCGCTGCTAACCTCCTTCAGGAACTTGTCCTTTGCGTTCACGACTTGGCTAACTGTTTGGCGTAAGAGGCCTAGCTTTCGGCCTATCTCAGCTTTCGACAGGCCCTCCTCACTAAGCTTAATCATTTCTAACTTTTGATTTAAAGTGAGAGACGTGCGACTCTTCCTTTCACTTGAACACGTAGAGGCCATCGTAGGGTTAATAATTTGCCTATTTTCAATACTGTTGCGTCTAAGGGGATAGGGAGGCCCGAGGAGAGATATTGACACGGAACGCACGTCAGTGGAGCAGTCAGAACGCACACAACATTTATCAGTTAAGTTCCCTGCCTTACCTGGGTGCGGCTGTCAGCACCCCAAAACTACAACAGCAACACCAAAGGCCATCGATCACAGATCAGCGTAACCAGGAACGACGGAAAAGTTTGCTTGAATTACCACAATGTGACACTCAGACAGGAAGTGAGCAAAGGCTGCTGCAAAAATTGGTGCCGACAGACTTGCTCCATGTAGGGTTACCACAAACCTTCAATTGGTAAAAAACGCAGTATCTGTGAAGCGGAAGAAAGCAAAGTGCTGCAAAATTATGCACGTACTACTGTTGAGTTGTCTGCCTTCCTTAAATTACGTCAGCTTTTGCTTCATGCACCTGGGGGCTCTGCCGTTGGGACAGGTGGTTATGTTCAAATCCCACCAGAAAAAGTGCAGCTCTTCAGAAATCCTATCAAGAAAGACCTTGAAGGCCCCCGCCGACGACCACTCCCACTCCTCCCTGACGGCTCGGCTTGTCTCCACAGTGGCTCCCGGTCCCTGCGCACAGTGCACCTGGCCTCCCCAGGCGGGCACGACGGCGAGGCGGCTCCGACAGTGCGGGAAGGGCCAGACGCCGAGAAGACCCCAAAACACGCACCCCAGGGCGACGCGTGGATCCCGCCGCCCACCAAGCTCCAACCCCAGACCACGCACAGCATGCTGGGACCGCACTCCACGACTCCCGCGAGGCACGTCGGGATTCCAAACGTCTGACTGGGATTCATGGGACAGCGGCGCGCTGCACGCTGGGCCTCGTAGTTCCACGACGGACGACCGGCCTCAGCACGTGATGGGAGGAGTTGTGGGACGTCAGCCCCTGTTGCATGCCGGGACCAAAAGCGCCTGATTGGGTTTCTGGGACACCGGCCTCTTAGTCCTAAGACGCCAGCCAGCCCTCAGCGCATAAAGAGTTGTGGGAACGGCAGAGCGTTGCATGCCGGGACTTGTAGTTCTCATGACGCCGGCCCTCAGGCGGTGACGGGGACTGCGGGACAGAGACCCTCGTGGCACGCCGGGATTCACGGCGCCTTACAGGGATTCGTGGTACAGAGGGGCGCGTTGCACGCCGGGACTCAGAGTCCCACGATGTCCAGCCTCAGCGCCTGACGGGGCTTCTGCGCCGGCAGCTCCGCGTTGCATGCCGACCCGCAGCCCCCGATGCCGGCGCGTATGGAGTGGATGGGGCGAAGGAACACTGTTCCCACCGGGCCCAGTCGCAGAAGCGTTGTCCTAGGACGCGCCCATTTCCCATGGCCGGCGGAGGACCTCTCGGGCCCCGCGTGGGCGTGTTTACACCCAGGCCCTCGGCGCCTGCGCGCACGCATGCGGTGGCACGTGACGTCGCACGCTGTCCCGGAAGTCGGCGCGGAACGGGTGGCTGGTGGAAGCCGGTGGTGCCGAAGGGGGAATCGAAGCGCCGCTGCTGCCTCTGCTTGGGCCGGGGGTCGCCCGGTAGCCCGCGATGGGCGCCGGACCCTGAGCGCCCACCGTCGCTTTTCCACAGCGCCTCCACTCGGCTGCGATGGAGGCACCGCCCAGCGGCCGCGTTCCCGCCGAGGGCGCCCAGCCGCCGGCCGTGGCCGAGGTGCGCTGCCCCGGCCCCGGACCGCTGCGCCTGCTCGAGTGGAGGGTGGCGGCTGGCGCGGCCGTACGCATCGGCTCTGTGCTGGCCGTGTGCGAGGCCGCCGCCTCCGCGCAGCCCACCGGGCCCGCCCCTACCCGCGCCGGCTCCGGGGGCTGCGTGCGCACGCAGCGCAGGCTGAGGTCGGAGCGCGCGGGCGTGGTGCGTGAGCTGTGCGCGCAGCCCGGCCAGGTGGTGGCCCCCGGGTGAGTGGGAAGGAGGGAGGGGGCTGAGGTCTAGAGGGAGTACTGGGCTTGGGCCGGGAAGGGGTCCTGGCCCGGCACTGGGTGGGCAGGGGTCTCCGGGGCAGCAGCTGAAGGCTGCGCTCTGAGAGAACTTTGTAAGTTAGAGCCCACAGCGGCCTGGCTGCCTGCTTTTCTGAGGCTGGACGGCAGTCACTGCTAGTGACTCTAGTAATCAGAGGCATCTGGCTTTTTTAAAAACTCTCCGTCACCGAAATTGCACCCTTTGTAAAACAGTTGTGTTCTCTTTTCCCTCTTTCTGTAATAGGTGCCTCCCCCCAAGACTTCACGTTTGTAAACTAGGAAACCTAGGGGGTCATAGTGCGTACAGGACCAATCAGGCGTACTCCGTGCTTGTCGCAGTGTCAGCTGTTGGGAGGCGTGCACTTCTTTAGGTTCTAGTAAACCTTGCGAAACGTGGTTGTAAAACCTGGTGCAGTTCTGCATCTTAGCTCAGGAAGGGGGTGCGGCCTGGGCACAGGTAGGTCAGAATGAGAAGTAGTAGTGCACCCTCCTGCCACAGGCTCTTGCTGTCGTACCTCTGTTTTAATCTAGTAAAGGTTTTTTTTTTCTTTTTTAAAGTGTATGAACTTGTCAGTTTATATCTTCTCCCTAAGTTGACCAGTGTTGTGCACAAAGGCGTGTGCACATGACTGGTGTGGTTGTTTTCATCGTCAGGGACAGAAACCTGGGGCAGGTGAGCATTCCTGCCTCCTGCTTAGTGGCTGGTGTGCAGCTTTCCTCTGTGGGGACCTCAGTGCCCTGGGTGCTCAGTTCCCTTTCTGCCCACCCTGGCCCTCCCCGAGGGTTGTGGGGGGGCATCAATTCCTGCTCCTCTCCCTGTGGCTCTAATTGCCCCTCTGGCTTTGGAGCATCTTCTACCTAGTCCACACAGCAGTGGGTGACCAGGATAGAACTGGCCTCCCTCGCGATCCTGGGAGTCTCGTCCTGCATCCTTTCCTCTCCTCTCCTCTCGTCTTTGGTGGGGAGCCAGGTCCTCAGCCTTCTGCTCAGATGCCTGCCCCTGTCCACTGAGTGCATCCGCCACCAGAGCTGTCTGCCTGGCCTCCTTTAGGGGACAGGGGCTCGCTGTGCTGTGTGTGTGTGTGGCACACTGTCAGCGTTACTTTGAAGTCAGGTCTTACCTGACCATTGCTTGGTCCATAATGAGCCTGTAAACCTGCCAGCTAAACGATGGAGGTGCACCCTGATGGTGCTGTATCACTGTGTAGAAAAACCCTGAGGGAACGACATCTTCTCCATGTGGTTCTGTTCCTCTGCATGGAAAAGGCCACCAAGGCCCAGACGGGCCAGTTGCTGGTCACAGCAGTTAGTGAGACTCGCGTGCATGCATGGATCAGGACAGCCAGTCCTGCAGATCAGAGTAACCCAGTGAGGCCGTGTAACCAATCAGCCAAGTAGCTGATAGAGTGACAGGCTCCCAGCTGTGAGTAATTCTCTTTTTGGTGTGTTTTTGGTGTTTCAGGTCTTGGGGTATCTTACTGCAGTGGTTCATCGTGGGGCTTTTTGAGGACGTGAAGAGTGGTAGCATTTCTCCTGGAAGGCAGGTGTGTGGGGGAGGAAAGCACCAGCGCAGCGCCGGGCCCACCTGGCTGGAGTTGTCCTTGTCTCCATCTGCACTGTCCTCAGGACTCATCCTGACACGTCAGAGGTTGTTCCCAGGCAGTGAACAGTTGCAGGAACGTAGAAGTCCTGCGTCTGGGTGTAGTGGAAATAATCAGTGGACACTGTTGTGACCTGTAATGGGATTGCACGTTTTTGTAGTGCTTCGTGCTGTCGGGGAGAATGGGAACTGTTCTGACTGAGACAGAGGAAGGGGCTGAGGTCCCAGGAGGTTTTGATGCAACAGCACTGTCCCTGCTGAGGCTTTGCCAGGGCTTCCTCTGCGCTGCTCTCTCCTTAGGCTGCGTTTCTTCCAGAGCGTCCCCCTGGGGGGAAGTAGATAGAATGAGAGTCTGTTTCTGTCTTCGTAATATATATGTGGAGTGAAATTATTTTGATTTGAAAATTTTCTGACAAGGCACTGCCTGCCAGAGAGTAAGTCTGTTAATTGTGTACCTGATGATGTGTTTCCCCCTCACCTGTCTGCTTTTTTTCAATTCACTCGGGTACATTGATGTCTCCAAAGGAAAGGAAAATATATGCATAAAGTAATCAGGAAACAAGTGTGGTGATGGATGAGGACCGACACGGGAGGAGGCTGTGTAGGTGCGCCTTTGCCTCTTCCATTGACATCCAGCCAGCTTGATCTGTGCCTGTCTGAACCTGCTGTTTTTATCAGGGTTCTACAGTGCCGAGGTTCTTAATTTCATCGTTTCTGCTTTATTTCTTGCTTCGTTTTCCTCTGTAAGAACAACTGATTTTTCAGTGTGCATTCAGGGGTTCTTATTTTATTCAGTGCCTTATGGTCCATTCCGATTACTTGCCTTGATGCTCAAACTGTCCTGGATGTGGAAGCGGGCGCCCTTCCAGGTCCCGTTAATGTAGAGCATGGTCCTGTTTTCTGACACAGATGGCTTCTGCTCTCCCATCCCCAGCCCTGGAGTCAGCCATTTCTCCAAGAAATCCTGCTTTCTTTTAATGGAGAATGGCATTTAGAAACCACAATCTGGGTGCACAAAATAGTCTCTTTTCCTCCAATATTCTTCAGTACTCAGAGGTTTAGCACTTAGAGGAGATCCCGTAGCCCTCCTAACCTGTAAGACCTGCCCAGACCCAACAACTGACAGTGACTGCTCCAGGGAGCAGCGTGCTGGGGCCCAGCTCCCTGACACTGCCCTTTCTGATACACCCTGTGCTCTCTGACCTTCCTGTTGGAGCAGACACAAAAGCTAATGAGTACAAAAAAATCAGGAGAGTTTGATACTTGTGTGTTTTGGGGAAAACAACTTGTTTAGGAATTGCATTGATGATTATCCCATGGATTTTCTTCAGGGAAGAACCAGGAAAGCTGACCTTTATGGGTGACTGGCCTGGCGTTCTGCGGCTTGTTTCCTTGGCTGAAGCACTGTTTTTAGAGTTCACAGTGCATCAGTCCCTTGGCCGTGTGGAGGATTAGGGTAGAACACAGCCCACTCTGCGCGCGTTTCACCCGGCCTGGAGCAGTGTCTGCAAAGCTGGAGGAGGAAACAACTCGTGCCGAAAAGGACGTTGCTGCTGTGCTCCTATCTAATTCCCTTTCCCTCTCTCTTGTCCTGTTATCTGATGCAGAAGTCATTTGGGATAGACAGTGTCATACTCAACTCTGGCCCTGGAAGGCAGTTCCGAGTGATCTAGTAATTGACAGAAAGTACAGTCCGACCTCCATACCACAGGTTCCGCATCTGTGTATTCAGCCAAGCTTGGATCGAAACATTTGGGGGGTGGGGGGGAAGTTCAGAAAGTTCCAAAAAGCAAAACTTGAATTTGCCACATACCAGCAATTATTTACACAGCGTTGACACCTTGTTGGGTGTCATAGGTAACTGAGAGGTAATTTAACGTACACAGGAGGGTGCCTGTAGGTTATATGCAAATACTAGGCCTTTTTTTTTTTTTTGCGGTATGCGGGCCTCTCACTGTTGTGGCCTCTCCCGTTGTGGAGCACAGGCTCCGGACGCGCAGGCTCAGCGGCCATGGCTCACGGGCCCAGCCGCTCTGCGGCACGTGGGATCCTCCCGGACCGGGGCACGGACCCGCGACCCCTGCATCGGCAGGCGGACTCCCAACCACCACGCCACCAGGGAAGCCCACTAGGCCATTTTATATAACGGACTTGAGCATCCTCAGATTCTGATACCTGCGAGGTCCTGGAACCAATCCCCTGTGGATACAGACGGGTGACTGTCAAGTCTGTTTCCCCTCCTTTTAATTTGGGCCGAGTGTTTCTGAGCTGCTGTACCCCGTAAGTTTCACTCCACCAGTGTGCCTACCAAGAGGAGCGGTGTGTGGAGGCTGAGCCCCCAGGTCATCGCTCCTGGCGCGGGAGCTCTTGGGTCACTGGTGTCCGTGCGGCCTGCACGTTGTCACGAGGTAGCAGGTCAGCGGAGCCTGTAACTAAAGTGTAAGCAACCTCAGCATATTTAAGCCTCCTGGGTTGGTGGATGAGCCAGTTACTGTTTCTCAGACACCTGCCGCCCGCGTCCCCGGAGGTGAGCGGCAGACTTTTCACCAGGTGCCAAAGGGCCCACACGCACCACTGGCCCGTGAGCAGCTGTCTGAGACGCGTCTTTGAGCGGAGCAGAGCGCCTCCGGTCCCCTTGCTGGCTCCACCGCGCCGTCGCAGATGCTTCCAGGGCCCCGTTCTTCCCCTCGGGCGCAGGAGAGCAGGGCTGGCTGGGAAGGGTCCCGGCGGGGAGGGGTCTGGGAAGGTGGGTGCCCCGTGTCAGCAGTGAACGCCCCCCAGAACCGACCGGGCAGGGAGGACCAGCTGCGGCCCGGCAGTGACCTCACCCTGGAACCCAGGGCATGGCCCGCATGCGGCCGAGGTGCCGTGAGAGCTGGGAAAGCAGAGACCCTGACCAGGCCGCGGGCGGAAGAGCCCTGGAGGCGCTGCTGGGTGAAGGCGTCGTGGGCACCTCGTGGAGGGATTTGGGTGGACGTGGGGGGCTGAGGGGCCACACGTGGAGAAGGCCAGCCGGGGCAGGGCTCCCCTGGGTGCCGGATCACCAGCAGCCGAGGCGGGCGGGACCTGGAGCAGGTGCTAGCAGAAGGGCACGGTCGAGGGAGGAGCCGTGTGTGCTCAGGGCAGCCCCTCGTCCGCCGCTCTGGTTTGTCTAGGATCGGGGCGAGGGGGGCAGTTTCAGGGAGAGGTTGAGACGGCGTTGAGGGTGGGAGAGGGGCCAGGCCGGCAGGGCCTGGTGTGCCCACCCCGCCCAGCACCGGGGTTGGGGGAGGGGGCCATCCTGGCCCAGGGCACCGAGTGGCTGGTCATGATGAGCAATGGGGCCGGAAGGGCAGGGAGGAAGGAGGCCCTGCTCGGAGGAGGGGTGTCGCTTCCCTGGTTTTGCCCCCCATTTGGCAGCTGTCTGCCCATGAAAATCATTTGCAGTCCAAAGCCTTTAGGACAGAAACGGGTGAGGAGGGAGGGGTGCAGAGCCGTCCACCCTCACGTGTGGGGCACCGACCAGAAGGCCGCTGGGCCTCAGAGAGGGTCTTTGCTTTGTGGGCAAATGCCCAGCAGGGCCTCCCTCACGACACTGGCACGGGGCACAGGTGTTTCATCGTAGATGAAAAAGTCCTTCATTTTATAGCCAGAGAAATGGCACCCCTGGAGAGTGATGTGAAGTTCAAGTTATGCAAGAGTCACTGGGAGAACTGGTACCAGAATCCAGGTGCCTTTGTGCCCACTCAGATGCTCTTTCTAAAGGAGTTGGATAAGGCAAGAGATTTTAGTTCTTGCTAACTTGTGACCGTTTTCACCCCCGATTCTAGGGCGGTTCTGGTGCAATTAGAAGGATGTAGCCACCCCGTCGTCATGAAGGGCCTGTGCGCTGAGTGTGGCCAAGACCTGACCCAGTAAGTTCTGGCAGCTTGAGAGTGGGACACCGTTCCCCCTGGAGCCCGAGGGCGGTGGGTGTGAGCGTGGAGGGACAGGTGGCCTGAGGGGCTCGGGTTGGAGGATCTGTCTCCGCTGCCCTTTGTCGGCCCGCATGTAGCGTGAGTCAGTCCGCTTCCTCTCTGGTTTGATTTCTTTGAGCTCTGGAAGCACTAAAGCATGCCTGCCGCCCACCCCAGGTGTGGTAGGAAACAGCTGGTGGGTTGGGATTTGCCTTCTCATCCCCGCTGAGTGAACCGCGCTTCCCCACTGGGACCGGCCATCCCTGGACGCAGCCGGCACTTCACAACCTCCAGGCCCCCATCTCGCAGCCTGCGCTAGTTTGCCACCACTGTTGAGTGGTTTCCCCCGTTTGTACGTGTAGAGCAGTGTGGACTGTTCTGTACTTTCACGCTCTGGGCCTCTGTGTTTCAGTGGGACCATCTTTATTTTCAAAGGGAACTCTGTGAGTGTGACTCTTACTTAATTTTTTCCTTGGTTTTCCTGTCTGTTTTCAGACAGTGGGGGAAATTTCAGCACTAAGCCCGCAGGACTCCTCAGCTAAAGCCTGAGCTAAAATTTCCGCGAAAGTTAATGAGCTGCAGGTGTCGCTTCACAGCCCCTTCTCGCTTCGCAGGCTGCAGAGTAAGAACGGGAGGCCACAGGTGCCGCTGTCCACGGCCACCGTGTCGATGGTGCACAGCGTCCCCGAGCTAATGGTGAGCTGCGAGGTAAGTGTGCCCCTGTCAGGGGCAGCGTTTGGGAAGACGGTTCCTGAGAGCCGTGAGCGCGTCTGTGGGCCGCTCTTAGCGTCAGGAGCAACAGGAGAAGACACCAGCTCTGTCGTCGCCGTCCCTGTGTTCCCAGTGTGCCCGCGGTGGACGGGTGGTTTATGTGGCGCATGTGGCCTGCCCGCGGGTGAGGGCTGCACCCCTTCCTCCTCCTTCCCCAAGCGATCCCGCCTGCAGGCAGCACTGCTCCACGGGGCTGCGTTGGGGGAGCTCTCCAGGGTGCTGCAGCCGGACCCTGGGCTTGGAGAGCTGCGGGTGGGAAGAGAGCCGAGGGGGAAGCACAGAGCCCGGGCCCATCGCGAGCAGGGGTGAGGGGAGGGCATCTCGAGGGCTCCTGCCTGGGGAGCGGGGGGCCGAGCAGGAGCGGGGAGGTGTCAGGTCTGATCAGCGCTGGCTGCGTGGACGTGGGGTGGAGGGTGAGGGCCCGGTGCTGTGCTCTCATGTGCAGAGACGTGCGAGTGCTGGAGAGATGTCTGGAAAGAAAAAGGTTGCTTTTTGTACATTGCCGTGTTGGTCAAAGGCCTCCTGACACCTGGGCCAGGGCCCACACGGTGGGGTGAGTGAGCGTCGCCAGGACCGGGCACGAGGCACGGTGCCCACCTCACGGGGCTCTGTAACAACTGGCTTCTTGTCTTATCGCAAGGCAGTCTCAGAGCTCTACGTTTTTGCAGGTAGTAGGTAAAAGCTCTCTTCAGTGTTATAATTTTATTAGGTGTGTGCTTTAAATGATATGTACCTACTTTGTCTTTCATGGGAAAGACAAAGTGCGAGGTACGTGATTCTGGTTTTTCTGAATTGCTGAAATTTAAACATACAAATACATAAGTGTATGTTTAAGACAAAACAAGGAAGTTTGAGGATAGAAAGAGAAGAAGGCGCCCCTCGTCGTTTCTGCTGTGAAGGACTAACCCTCGCCCGTCCTGCATGAGCCGCTTCAGGAGCGGACAGCGGAATCCCCTCCGCCCCACGCTCGGCTCACTGCTTGTCTCAGCTCTGCCGGTCACTTGGCCTGAGTGGCTCCAGAGCCTTCGGCTGAGTCTGTATAGACACAGCCACTTTCTTCTCAGCCCCCGTTCACCGGTCTACCTGTTTAATGAAAAGCAGTCACAAGTCGGAGTGGCTTCAAGAGGGTTGGACCACACAGGACTGGCTCCGGGCACTGGGGCCTAGTCCCCAGGCCACTAGGCTTGCGAGTGAGGCGGGCGAGGCGTGTGGGGCCGTGAACCCCTCGGCTTCCTCTTCTGTTTTCTCATAAGACCAAGTTTTGCTTTGGATCCACATGTACTTGCTTTGTCGTCTCTCTTTTTCCTTTTTAACTAGCAAGCTGAAAAGCTAGGAAGGGAAGACCAGCAGCGACTGCATCGCAACAGAAAACTAGTGCTCATGGTGGACTTGGACCAGACCTTGATCCACACGACGGAGCAGCATTGCCCACAGATGTCCAACAAGGTGAGCTCCTCCGGGGGCCGGGCGGGGGGGGCAGCTCATTGAGCGACGCACACAGGCCTGTGCAGCTTGGGTACAAGCTTCGTCTGAAGGAGCGTGGATCCTCGGCTCAGTAAGTGCGCGGGCGCAGGGCGCTCTGCTCCGGAAGCTCTCGGCCATGGTGCGGAGGACGGTGAGTAGCTGGTGAGCGCTGGCGTCGAGTCCCTCACCCGCAGAACAGCATGTGCTTTTCACTTACGTAAGTCTTTGATGTCATGGGCTCTTCTGTAAGATGCTCTTTGTGTGACGTCCGCGATTGGCAGGCGTCTCGGGGGTTTCCTGCATCACGACCGCTGCACTCAGGCTGGGGGGCAGAGCTTGAGGGCATGGCTGCCGCGAGCCCCGCAGCCACTCAGGCTCGTTCTGCCTGCGAAGCCGGGCCTTTTCACTCCTTTCATAAGAGTTTGCACAGTTACGCCACTCCCGTTCTCGGCTTGTGTGGCAGGAGGGTGTCCTCAGGGCCGTGTGGACGGCGCTCAACTGCTGCTGGGGGCTTCCCTGTGCCTCTGCCCACACCTGCCCACTGGCCAGGCCCCTCTGGACCCCCAGACAGCATCAGGACGCATGGCAACCCCCCGCCTCGCCCCCAACTCCGGACCCACAGGACACCTGCTGGCGACAGCCAGAGAGGCATGTTGAATCCTTAACCTCGGAGATCCTAACTTGGGATTTTAAGGATGTTTCTATTGTAGCTTCTGGACGTTTTAGCTGTTGAGTATGGTGGAAGGTGTTTTATACCATTTCACACTCCCAGATGCTTTGCCAGAACAGCCCCATCATGAGGGGTGTGACGAATTTAGAGCTAGCAAAAAATTAAATAGGCCTCAGGTTGTTTCCTTTCTTTTTAGTTTATTACTACTGAGAAAATGAATGACAAAGAGGATTGAAAGGATCAAAGTTTAACTCCCTGAGGAGAGTGGACGTGCGTGCATGTTAACCACGTGTAAGCAGGTTGTCTGTCTCCTAAAGACGTCTGCGAATACTGTTTCAGCTTCTGTGTTTCATTTGTAAGGTAGTAAAGTTGCATCTTAAACCGTCCATGAGTTAGACTGAGTGATGTGGGACCCTTGGTTTGCGATCATCACTAGCGCTGGGAGACACTGTCAGTAGAGGCCCCTGGAGATGGGTTCTAAGCGGCCCGCAGCAGCTCTGCTGCTTGCTGCTATGTGCAGTGACTCTCTCAGGGGTGCTCACTTTGTCCGTGATCAGAGAAACAGTGTTGGCAAGACGGTCAGGGTGTGTAAGCGTCCACCGGTGTCCTGATAGCCTTTTAGTGAAGCCCTCGGACAGCCGAGTTACCATAGTCATAACAGGAAGTTATCCCAGGTGGGTAGTTACCTGGTCATTCTGGGTAGCTCCATGCTTGTCCTGGGCGCTTACCGTAGGTGGTTACCGCAGCAGGGAAGGTGGAGCCCCCCTCCGCCATAGAGCATGAGAAAGGAGAGCGTTTCTGTGGAGTGGGCGTGGTTCGCTGCACATCAACTCCCGCAGGTGACCCGTGCAGCTGTCATGTGTCACATGTCAGCCGCAGGGCCAAGCCTTCACGGCGGCTCCCACCCCCTGACCGGCGGCTCCCACCCTATGACTGGGCCTGTTCTCTGCAGGGCATATTCCACTTCCAGCTGGGCCGGGGCGAGCCGATGCTGCACACCCGTCTGCGTCCGCACTGCAAGGGGTTCCTGGAGAAGATCGCCAAGCTGTACGAGCTTCACGTCTTCACGTTCGGCAGCCGGCTGTACGCACACACGATCGCAGGTGAGCGGGCCGCGGGGTTCAGTCCCCTCACTGGACACTTAACCTTTGGCTTCTCTCTTTTTCTCGATGTTTCTTGAAGATGAAGGGGAAAGATCAGGAAGGTCTCCAAACTCAGTTTCAGCCTCCCAGCTGGCAGGTGGGGGCCCAGTTAAGTCGGTCCACAGGCTGCGGGCGGACGAGAACCTCCCTGCTCTGCCGGGCCCACGGGCCGTGACAGACGCGCTCCAGTGCAGAGGGCAGGCTGCCATCACTCCGGTCAGCTGCACGCCACGGGCCTCTTTGGAAGTTGGTCAGGACCACATATATGTGGAAAAGTAGAAACTCTCGCTATGAGGGTTCTGTTAAAAAATGTTAATCCGTTTGGAAATAGCTCTGGAGCCATGTTGCTTGGGTTTGTCTGCAGTTAGCACTTTCAGCGCAGACAGAACAGTCTCTCTTACTTGGAAGGGAGCAGCGTGATGATGTATTAACCTGCTGTCCTAGTTCGGGCTTGCGGTTCTGTGCTGGCTGCTCTCGTGCATGGACACCGGAGCCCCCGGCCCCTAGCTCTGGCTGGGGACGGGGTGAAGGGCACCAGCTTCCCCTGCGTAGGCACATTTGGGCTCTAGCCCACTGGGGCCCATCATTGGACATTGGCACCCGCAGTATGTCACAGCTCCTAAGGATTAGTTACAGGTACGTTAAACTAAGTACTTTTAAATGCAAACGCCTTTGCAGATGGGTCTTGGTCTTGTCAGTGGAGAAATACATTTTAAATTCCCCTTTAACATTTGGTGCCTTTGTAGGAAATGTTAGTCACAAACACAGAGGCAGCGTTATTAGTTAATCCATCTTGTAACTAACATTCAGCGTGTTCACCTTCAGTGTATGGCTGCTCTGCGGCTCCGCGGGAGCGTGGTTTGGAGACTGACGCAACTCCTTTGCAGAGTTCTCACACCGCTGAGTAAGCCACACCCCACGTGGGAATAGCAAGTGACGTCTTCAGGTGTGGTCTCAGGCCTCTCCTTGAGGCCATCACCTCTGGAACCTGGCCTCGCTAGGTGTCAGTTAGTGAGGCACGGAGAGCACCAGCGAAGGTCCCGGGGGGACATCCCTGCTCAGCCTGCCGCCCCGCCCCCGTCCCCCAGGGCCTGTGGCCATCGCCGCTTCCTGAGGTTCCTGAGAACAGGGCTCGCCCCATCTCAGGCTGTGCCGTGTGCCGTAGGATCCCACGTTGCAGCAAGTCCAGACGAGGCCGTCACGAGGAAACCGCAGGCAGTATCCCAGCGACAGTGGGTGCAGAGACCCTCCAAGCAGTACCTCGACCAGGGGACCCGAGGTGGTTCGGCCACCCCAGTGAGGGCGTTGAGAGCGACCACGGTTCACCTGCAGAGAGGGCCCGGGAGGAAGCACGTGGCCCCCAGGGCTGGTGCCCCACGTAGCTCTGGGAGCTGCGAGGCCTTCGGGGGCACGTGGATTTGAGCTTAGTGGCCACAGTGCCTTCAGCTGGAAGGAGTCGGCTGACCGGCCGTGTCAGTCTGATCATTTGCGGATGACAAGCAGAGGCCACGCGTGCGGAGGCCTGACAGCGGTTTTAACAGTGATGGTTTTCGTAACTTCCTCTTCCTGTCAACTTTACTGTTTTCACAAAATGTGTACTTTCGGTGTAGCGAGGATAGAAACGCTTCCATTGGGGCAGAAATGTTAAGCGTTTTGCGTGCTTTTCATTTATTGTAGAGGCTCTGATACTTAGTGTTTTAGATTTAGCCACTGAGAGGCTTCAGTGTTCATACAAGTTCTTTACATAGTAAAACGGTAGTGTGTGTTTCTCCTGCGAGATGGGCGTTGTCTGTCGATGAAGCACTGATGACTCAGTGACCTCGAGGCCCTGAGCACCGGGCGGCTGCCACCCCACTGCACAGGGGCCCTCAGGAGGGGCACACGGCTCCGCCCAGAGGAGGACCTCAGGCTGCAGGCCTAGCGACCGGTGACGCGTCCGTCTCCGTCAGTAGTAGGAAATAGTAAGGTGTGGATGTCAAACCTGCAATGTCAAGGGTCCTGTCACCGAGGGAGGCAGCTATGGGCGGGCCGTGTGGGAGAGGACGCACGCGAGGTTATGAAGGTGCCTCCTCATCCATGTAAAGAAAGGCTTGAGGAAACACGGGTTCTCCTGTCACGGTGTGAGTTTAGGAGTGCTGCCCGAACACCCTGCCCTCCCCTTTGCTTTGCGAACACGAATGTCAGGGAGATGACAAAGCCAAACCAGCATTTGAACTACTGTTTGGCGCCACTTCTGTCGGCGACGGGCTCCTCCCTGATGCCACTCCGAGTCCCCTGCGAGGTGGGCAGACGTGGTGCTAATTACCTGCGGCTCTGAGCTTCCGGGTAACACTGAACTTTGTTCATCCCATCTGCTGTCCCAGCAAGATTCCAGGTGATGTGAGATTCAGTCAACATTTCCTGGACCAAAGCCCTTACCTGCGTTAAGATTAGAGGGAAGGAGGGCTTCCCTGGTGGCGCAGTGGTTGAGAGTACGCCTGCCAATGCAGGGGACACGGGTTCGTGCCCCGGTCCGGGAAGATCCCACATGCCGCGGAGCGGCTGGGCCCGTGAGCCATGGCCGCTGAGCCTGTGCGTCTGGAGCCTGTGCTCTGCAATGGGAGAGGCCACAACAGTGAGAGGCCTGCGTACTGCAAAAAAAAAAAAAAAAAGATCAGAGGTGAAGGAGCTGTAAGAGGGTGACAGTCTCACCTGGAAGAGGAAAGTGCTCGCTGCTGGTGCCCTGTCTGCACATCACCGCGCGTAGGAAAGGACGTCAGTGCATCGCAGACACCTGACCTTGTCCTGTTTTCTTTTCAAAGGCTTCTTAGATCCTGAGAAGAAGCTTTTTTCACATCGAATATTATCGAGGGACGAATGTATTGACCCGTTTTCCAAAACGGGGAACCTTAGGTATGTACCTGGCTGTGCACATCTGAGGTCACCGTTCAGTTTCCGTCGTAAAGTCTGCGTTTTGAGCATCAGCCCAATCGTTCTGTATTTATTCTCCCGGTTACCAGCGTCCACTTTCTGGCACGTAGCGAGTCTGCTGTCTTCTAACCAGACCCCTCCCTTCCCTGCTCTCCTTGAATGTCCAGGCAGTGGTGGCTCCTGGGGTACTCGGGGCAGAGCCCGGGGCGACATGGGTGTCGGGGGAGGAGTGAGACCAGGGCCTGGGGGATGCGTGGAGAGATGGTCTGGGCGGCCCAGCCCCCAGAGCCTCCCCAGAGGGCGAGGGGGCTGTTTGGCCTAGTCGGAAGTTTTAGGGGGTGTTGGCACCTCGGGCTTCTGTTTCCTTAAGACCTGCGTGCTGTGCAGCGCACAGTCAGTTATCAGATCTTAAGTCGTGCTGCTCTGCACTGGCGCTCGGCCTGCTTCCACGTGCTTCCGTCCCCGTGTGCCCCTCCCGATCCGGGTCTGTGTGCTCTTACACCGGGGCTCCCTCCCATCCCCCCCGAGAGCTGATTTATATTCTTGGGAATTTCCTGCTCACTCTACAAGGAATTTCCCCACTGCTACCCAGAAAGGTCGCCTCCCCCCATTGTGTCCTGTGTCAGGTATCACTTTCTTCATGGCTGTTGATTCTTAAGACTTGGACAGTAACAGCTGTGGCCTCAGTGGCCTTTTGGCTGGCGTTGGCCACCCTTAGCTAGCATTTCGTGTTTCAGATTTAGGGTATCCACACAGACTGAGACCTGTTCACGTCTGTGGGATACAAGAGGAGAATCAGAGTACTTGTTTCAGAAACAGTTCTCGTGTTTACTGGTTAGGCATCCGGACGAGCAGATACGAGGACGAAGGAAATTGAGGGAGGGTGTGATGACTGGTTCGGGGGAAAACCTACCCGAGGCTGAGCGTGTCAGAGGGGAGGGGCTCCATGGCAGCTCCGGGGGCGGCACTTGGCTCTGTTCCCTGGTCTTGATTTGGTGTGGTTTTCACCTCCCTCGTCTGGAATTAAATGTGCTAAAGGCATTAACTGTGTAGGTCATTTTAGCTACCGCTTATGTTTCGCCTATGGAAAACAGACTCACCGAAGACAATTCTGGACACATGAACGTTTTTTTCTGACTAGTTGTAGCCTTTAGTAGCAGCTAGAAAACCTGAACAATGACATGCGTTTCTCCTGGGTTTGTTTCTCGATCCTAGAAAACAGGCAGGAAGCACTCATCCGTCTGAATTTTGCATCCTTGCGCCTGTCTGTATGAATCTAAGTGTTGTGGGCAGAAATCAAGTGAAAAGACCACAGAGCAGGCCTGTGTCCATAAGGTGGCTTTTTGGACCCTTGTTAACATTCTTCCTCCACCCATATATCCTCGTAGCTTTCGGGAATACAACAGTCACTTTCTGGACTTGGCATCATGTAGGTGCCCCAGCCGAGATTTGAGGAAGGCCTTGCCCTCCTGCCTGTAACTGATAGCTCTTACCTGGCACAGGCCGATTACCTGTGTTTGTAAATAAAGCCGTGTTGGGATGTGGCCAGGCCCATTGGTCTGTGCCAGCTTCCCCTGGGTGAGGGCTTTCCATGGCCCCAAACAGTAAACCCTTCACTCTCTGGCCCTTTGAAGAATTTGCCATGACTCCTGCCTTAAGGAGTGTCAGACACTGGAGAAAAGTGTAACTCCGGAAACTTTTTTAAATGTGAGCTAAACAGAAGCCCTTCAGTGCAGTTTGCATCTGGTTCTGATTAATGCGCTCTCTGCTGGTTTCACATAAAAGATGGCCTTGACATTCGATCGATGATGACCTTTTGTAAATTGTGTTAGTAGTTCCGCTGCATTTTTACTTCTAGAAATCTTTTTCCTTGTGGAGACTCCATGGTTTGCATCATCGATGACCGAGAAGACGTGTGGAAGTTTGCCCCCAACCTGATAACTGTGAAGAAATATGTGTACTTCCAGGGCATAGGTGACATCAATGCCCCATCCGGGTCCCGGGAGCCCCAGGCGAGGAGGAGAGGTGGGTGTGGCCCCTCCTGGCTGTCAGATAGCACCGGCTCTGTCCTGTCTCTGTTGTGGCTGCTGTTAATTCAGGATTCAGTTTGGTTTGGGTCATTATTTATATTTCAGTAGTCATAGAGATTGTGGGGTTTATTTATATTATGCTGAAAAACGTGGTATTATTTGGTTTCAGTTTAGGTTTTGTTTTTTTCTTTTACTAGTACCAGCCTAAACATTTTTCCCGTTGAGTAAAGATTAAAGAATACTATTTAATTTAATGCATCTGAATACTACCTTTCATCCCGGCTTTCCTTGAAAGACAAGCATGACACTGGGAGTTTAGTGTGTGAGGCTCCAGCCCGTGGGTGGTTGGTGCCGGGCCCCGGCCCAGAGCCTGCAGGGAACCTCCCAGGCGAGCTGGAACCCAGAGTCTGAAAAAATTTTAAAGTTTTGGTTTGAAGTGTTTCTGATGATCTTTAGCTTTTAAATAACCCATTTTGAGGCACACAGTTATTGCTGTAGTCACTGAAGTAGAACTTTGAGGTGTAGGCAGGGGAGTGAGACCCCAGGGCACCCTCGGGGGCGAGGCTGCACAGCCCAGCTCGAGCTGGGCCCGATCTGACCACAGCCTGGGAACCAAGCATGTTCTGCACATCTCGTACCACTGTGGAACCCAAAACGAGGTGACCGGGTGAGGCCCGCAAACCTGAGATACTCACCCTCCAGCCCTTCCCGGCTGAGGGTGCCGCTCCCTGGCCAGAGGTGCCTCCAGCTAGCAGCTGGGGGCAGGTGGATGGAGTTTGTTTCCACAGGGGGTTTCCTCTTAAATGTTAGGTAACGGTGACCTTGTCTCACATGCACACGTGCAGTTAGTCCTTCTCCTAAAGGTGCCGACGCCACGGAGCAGCCTCCATTCGTCAAGGATCCCGAGGAAGGAAGGCAGGTGTCCGGGGTCGAGCAGAGCAACGGCCTCGGGAAGCCCACGCGGGAGCTCAACGGGGGCGCAGGCCCTCGCGGGGGCTGGCCCTGTCCCGGGCAGGAGGAGGAGAGGGGCGCTCGGCCCGCCACCTGCGCCCCCTCTGCTGACGGCCGGGGGCCCCTGGCGGGCACCCAGCAGCACGGGCGGACGCCGCCAGAGAAGAGGCCCGTGCTGGGTCCGGTGGGCCCTGACCCGGACCCAGATGTCCCCAGTGACAGCGGGAGCAACAGCGAGTCCGAGGGCCGGCCGTCCCCCATCCCCTCTGATGGGGAGAGTGGGGAGAAGAGGACCCGGAGAAAGCCTGCGGCCACCCGCCATGCTGGGGACATCGTGGCCCAGGGCGGCGCCTCGGGCACCAGTCTGTGCATGGAGCCCGGGCCCGGCGTCCAGGCGGCCGTGCAGGGGGAGGGCGAGCGGGACAGCCTCTGCGGGCTGGGCAGCGGCTGTGCCGACAGGAGGGAGGCCGAGACAGAGTCCCAGAACAGCGAGCAGTCAGGCATCACGGTGGGCGAGTCCCTGGACCAGAGTGCGGAGGAGGAGGAGGAGGAGGAGGACGCCGACGCCGACGACCACCTGGTCCACCTGGAGGAGATCCTCGCCCGCGTGCATGCCACCTACTATGCCAGGTATGACTGCTTTCTCCGCGGGGAGACCCAGGACGCCCCCGACATCCGGAAGATCGTCCCCGAGCTGCGCGGCAGGGTGCTGGCCGACGTCGCAATCATCTTCAGTGGGCTGCACCCCACGAACTTCCCCATCGAGAAGACGCGGGAGCACTACCACGCCACGGCCCTGGGCGCCAGGATCGTCACCCAGCTGGTGCTGGAGCCCGGCAACCCCGACCGGGCCACCCACCTGATCGCCGCGCGGGCCGGTGAGTCACGCCCTCCTGCCCCGGCCCCGACCGCCTCCGGGTGGGGCTCCGGCTCCCCCTCCGAACCGGCTGCCTCCACGGTCCGCGCTGCGGCGGCACCCAGGTGTCACTGCTCCCCGAGGCCCCGGGCTCAAGGCTCTGGGGTGGGTGCCGATGTAGAGAAACGGGGCCCTTCAGGAGCCATCACACGGTGGGCCCTGCTCTGAGGGCTGTTCCCTCCAGGGCCCCTGCTGTCCCCGCCGCCCCAAGCCCTGACGGCGGACCAGTGGCCCGCGGCGGCTCCGAGCAGAGTGCATGTGCCCGCAGGCACGGAGAAGGTGCGCCAGGCCCAGGATTCTGGGCAGCTGCACGTGGTCAACCCCGACTGGCTGTGGAGCTGCCTGGAGCGCTGGGACAAGGTGGAGGAGCGGCTGTTCCCGCTACGTGGTGACCCGGCCAAATCCCAGAGGTGGGCGCCCGCGGGGGGTGGCTGGTGGCTCAGAGGGAGGGTCCGCGCTGGAGCCCACACAGCCGCTGCTCCCGCTTGGGAGATGCCGCCGCCCCCGCCGCGCAGACTGTCACAAAGAGTACCTCTGACCAGTGTCACCTGGAGGAGAAGCGGAAGTGCTTCTCCTAAGACACAAGTCAGCTTTAAGCAATGAATCCTAGTTTGCGGCTGTTTCTTTCACAGCTGGGACGTGGTCCCATCGAGTCACAGGGTCTTTACAGAGTCCAGCGTGGAGGGAGGGGGTGGCCAGGACGAGGGATGGGTGCAGAGGGCCCGTGGGCAGAGCCAGGCAGCACGGACAGCGCACCGGCTCTGTCAGAGCAGGTGCTGTGTTTAGAGGTGAAGCCGGAAACAGTGTCAGAGAGATAGCGGTGCAGCCCGCGCTCTCCAAGGGGCCTTGTGTCCGTAGCCGAGGTCGAACCCCAGGCTTAACGGAGAACCACGACTTCACGCGCGGATCCACAGTCCTGGCGGGAGGGAGGCGCGGGGGGTCCCGATCTGTTCCGGCCTCTCCTCACCGCCCTCGTTCTTGCCTACCCTCCAGCGAGGACAGCCCAGCCGCCTTTCCCGACAGGCAGGGCCTGCTTCCAGCCACCCTGTTTCATCCAACACCCGTGCATCCCAAGGCCCCTCCTGGCCCTGAAGTTCGGATCTACAACGCCAGCACGGGCAAGCTCATCCGCCATGGTGCTGCGGGCCCCGGGCCCCCTGGCTCCCTGCCGGTGCACGCGGAGCTCTCCTCCTTCAGGTACGCGCGCCCCGCACGCAAAGGTGTCCTCGCAGGGCTTAGCCAGCAGGCAGCAGAGTGGGGTGCCTGTGGGGTCGGGCCGGGGGCACAGTCCTCACCCATGCCCACGTCGGGCCTTTCTGCATGTTCTTCCATCCTGTCTCGGGTCCCGGGACTGGGGCAGACAAGTCCGTGGCTCAGCCTGGACCTGCAAACGCCCCACCTTTGCTCGGTGCCAAGGGGTGGCCTCAGGCGGCTGGACCTGACCCTCCTGCCTTGCCCTTCGGGTCCGTCCCCGCTGCCACCCCCAGAAGGGCCAGTTGGGAGCAGCTCTGCTCTGTAGCCCCGGCCCTCAGGTCACAGGTCACACTGGTGGCCATGGCAGTTGGGAAATAGGAACATAGAGGGAGACCCAGGTCGGGGAGGAAGGCACTGCCCGGGGGGAACGTGGCCAGTGGTTTCCACACGTGTCTCCACGGGTGTCTGTTTCCTCTCTGCCTGTTGACTGGAAATCAGCTGAGTTGGGGACCTTACAGAGCACCCCGTAAACACCTTAGCACTCCGAGGTGAAAGTGAGGGACCTGAAGCTTTGCTTTGTTTTTGAGGAGTGGCCTCTGCTTTGAAACGCTTCTGCTGAACGCACGTGGTCTTGCTTCCGGGTCCCCTCCTTTCTGGAGCCCCGGGCCCATCCAGAGAGCCACCTTTGCTGTTAGCGGCTCACGTGTGGCGGTGGATTTCTCCTGCTCTGGTGGCCTGGCAGGCCTGCGCTGACCGCGTGGCTCCACCAGAGTGCTCAATACAGTGGGCAGGGAGGGACTCGCCCGATTCCCTACCCTGTGGCCTCGGCAACAGGCCGCAGGGGCCGACATGAGCCCGGTTGACGCCAGCAGAGTGGATGTGGACGAGGGGCCCCTGGAGGCCAGCGGGGTGTCAGTTGACCCTGCAGCTGGGCTCCAGATGTAGACAGACGCCCGGGGTTTAGGCCAGTTTCAGTTGGGCTATTGGTTGGTGGATTATTTTGTTCTAAAAGCATCGTCGCTGATTAAGCTCTGATTTTCTTCCGACAACATGATATTTAATTACTTGAGAAGGTGCATTGTGATCTCAGTGCTGCCTGTACGCCCGTGGAGTTACTTCCAGAGCAGGGTCACTAGGTTAAAGGTCGTGGGTGTCCTTGACTTTAATAAATGGGGGCAGTTGTTTGTTACTTTGCCAAAGATTTGTTGGGATTTGTGTCCCGCCCGGCAGGACCGGCCCCTCCCTCTCCTTCCTCCTTGATCGGTCTCAAGGCGCACGGCCGCCCTCTCTCTCCGGTGAGGCCCAAACTGGGCCTCCCACAGGCGACGACCTCGGGTGTGTCTGAGGGTGAGAGGTGCAGGGTCGGGGGGCAGCACCCCTCACGGAGACAGCGGGCCGCGAGTGGCCCCGGGCTTCCCAACATCATGCACTGAAACGTATCTCCCTGCACGGACAGCCTCTGCAATTCCGAATTCCTTTTCATTTACCCTTGGTTTGTCGTGTGCTATAAGTTGTGAACGTTTTGTTTTCTTCAGTAAAGGTTTTATTTTGAGACAATCATAGACTCACAGGCAGTTGTCAGAAATAACAGAGATCCCAGGGACCGTTAACCCGCTTCCCCCATTGGCGTCATCTCACAGAACTGGCCGTAGGGTGCAGCCAGTCTCGAGCCGGGACGCCAGCACTGGCCTGGTCCAGACGTAGCATCCAGCCCCACCAGGGCACCCCCGGCCCATCTCCAGCCCTCCCAGCCCCACCCCCAAGCCTAACCCGGCCACCACTGGTCTGCCTCTGTCCCTGTACTCCCGTCATCCCGGAAACACGGAGTAATTGGACTCACACGGTGTGCAGCCCCACTCAGCACGGCTCCCTGGAGGTCCTGCCCCGATGTGGCCGTGTCCACTGCTGAGGAGTGTTTCGTGGAAAGAGGTACCGCGGCTTCTGTGGCGTTCGCCCGCCGGAGGTCATCCGGGGTGTGTCCGGCTCTGGAGTGTTACCGATACGGCCGCTGCTGTTGTGAACGTCTGTGTGCGTCTCTGCTTCTCCTGAGTCAGCGCCCGGGAGTGGGACTGCTGAGTTGTGCAGCGAGTGTGTTTAGTTTTACAAGAAGCCGTCCAGCTCTTCCCTGCAGTGGTGGTACCTTTTACGTCCCCACCAGCGGGTGGGGGACATTGTTTCTCTGCATCTGGTGCCCCCGTTTCCATTTGAGCCTCCCTGAGGCTGTGGGACGTGTGGTTTCGTGCTCACCCTTTCTCTCGGCCCTTTGCCCCTGTGGAGTCTCCTCAGCGAGATGTCCCGTCGCCTGCCCGTGCATTCGAGGCCCTTAGGGTGTCTCGGGTCCTTGTCCTGTGTCAGTTGCGAGCCTTGTGGAAGCTTCTCGTGCTCTGGGGATGCCTTCCACCCTCTTAACAGAGTCGTTGGCAGAACAGACGTTTCCCGTTTGGGGGAGGTTCTCTGACTGGTTGTCTTTCCGTGAGTCATGCTTCGGTGTCAGGTCTGTGGCCCCTGCCTGGCCTGGATCCTGGTAGTTTCACGTATTGTATTTAAGTCCGTGATCTGTTTCGAGTGAGTTTTGGCCTAACGTGAGAGGTTTGAGGGTGGGGCCGTTTGTGGGCAAGGCCCTCTTTCCTCCATGGGCTTGTTCTGCACCTTTGTTGGACTCAGGGGACCGTATTCCTGTGGGTCCGTTCCTGGGTTCTCTGTCTCTTCCAGTGGTTGGTGGGCATTTTTGCCTTTTTCCTAGTCTGAGGGGGGAAACGTTGAGCCTCTCACCGTCACACGTGGTGTCGGCTGCGAGTTTCTGTAGCTGCTCCTCCTTGGATTCCTCCTGTCTTCCCTGTGTTTCACCGTGAATGGCTGTTGAATTTCTTCATCGCTTTCTATGTGTTGACCTCAAGCTCACGCAGTTTTTCTTCTTTTGCGTGTTACTTGAGTCGTATTTCCCTTGTAACTGGAGTAGCATTTCTCTCACTGCTCTCGAGATTTTTTTTCCTTGTCTTGAATTGCAGATTTGATGGTGATGTGTCTTAATATGGATGTGGGCGTTTATCCTGTTGCGGATTCACTTAAGAGTCTCGAATCTGAAAGTTTCACGTCGTTTTTGCCAAATTTGGGGCATTGTTTCTGGCCATTATTCCTCAAGTACTTTTTTAGCTCTGCGTGTTTCTCCTCTCCTTCTGGGGCACCAGCAGTGACATGATCGTGGGCTCTCACTGTCGTCACGTGGGCCTGAGGCTGTGTGCGTTTTTCCTCTTCAGTCTGTTTCCTGTCGTTTACATGGAGTACTTTCTAGGGTGTCTTCAGATTCAGATTTCCTTCCCTCTGTCCCCTCCGTCGCGATACTGAGCCCACCCAATGCATGTTTTCGTTTGTTTTCACTTCTAAAATTTCCATTTGGTTCTTCTCTTTATCTTCTATTTCGTTCCTGAGGCTCTTTGTTTCTTTCATTTATTTCAAGCGTGCTTGTAATTGCTTATTGAAGCATTTCTTTTTATTGAGGATACTTTGGAATCTTTGTCAGACAGTTCTGTCATTTCTCTCACCTCAGTTGACATCTCCTGATGGTCTTTTTTCAGTCAGTTGGAGATCTTCCTGGCTCTTGGTGTGACAGGTGGTTTTCAGTTGAAACCTGGAGACAGGTCTCTTTCTGAGAGTCTGGACCTTGCTGAAACCTTCTGTTTAGCTGGCTTTCGCAGGCCGTGCTCCCACAGCAGAACTTATAAGACACCTCCTCACCCCTGCCGGGCAGGGGCAAAAAAAGTCCAGGGTCCCACTCGGCCTCCGCTGACGCCGGCCTGGGGGTCACTGTTACTGCCGGGCAGCCTTGGCGCGGGGTCCACGACAGTCTGACGCCTCCCGGTTTTCGCAGGTGGGTGGGCTCCACTGACACTGCAGCACGTCACGGACCTGCTTAGAAAATGTAGAACTAGGATCTCGGACCAGGCAGAGTCCACACACTTGACAGCGGAAACATGACCCATAGAAAGAAAACTGATCAGGAGCTTCCTCCAAGTGAGAAACCTCTGCTCTGCCCGCGACTCTGCCGCCGGCTCCGTGACGCCCCCGCGCAGTGGGGCGAGGGGAGGCAGCAGGCGGGGTTGCTGTCCAGTCCTGTGCTGGTGGCTGCGGCTGCTCGTGAGCCGGGCCTGCCCGTGGGCGTGTCCAGTTGCCGGTTCCCGGGATGAGCAGCAGGAAGCGCCAGAGAAGCCACTGTGGGGCCTGGGGCTCGGGCTGTGCGTGCGGAGCCGATTCAGAAGCCACAGGGAATCTGTTTGCATTTCTGCAAATCTCTCTGGCTTAGCGGAAGACGGGGTTCCCACCTGCCTCCTGGTCCACCTGGTGTGACCTGCCATCCGGTGGGGACGCCGGAGGGAGTTCTGGCCTCGCCCGGAGTGTCTCTAGAAGAGGGAGGATCTTGCGACTGCCCTGAGCGGGTTCTCAGGAGCCCCCAGCGTGGTGGCCGATTTTCAGCATCTTCCACGTGGAAGAACATCCTGCCTTTTCAGGTGCTTGTGCGCAGCTCAGGCTGAGCCCACACCCCACTGCCTTGAGGACCAGTCGGCCCCTGGGCCCATGAGCCTTCCGTAGGGGGTGCACTTGTTCTCCCCTTCCCCGTTCTGGGTCTGAAGGGAGGCTGTGCTAGTAAAAAGGTACTTCTGCCGTTTTCCATATTCGTAAGAGGAGCTCTGAGTGGTGGGGTGACGGTAAGTGGATGTGGGCTGAAGTGCAGCCTGATGCCCAGGTCAGAAGACAGGACAGGAAGCTCTTAAGCCGCATGGATACGTGGAGGCGGGCAAGGCGGGCGGGCCATCGAGAGGCTGGGGACAGAGTCTGACTTCGGAAGAAGCAGGGGTCAGCGGTTTCTAGATGGTCCTTCATGTTTCTGGGTCAGAGATCTTAACCACATCAGGTAGTATGTGGTTAGCCCAGTACAGTTGCTTCCTTTCAGTTTTGTGATTCAGACTTATTATTACCACCACTTTTCTTCAGAGTAACAAGGTTTTGCTATGTCGTCTTCAGTTTCCTGGTGGCTGTGAGGTGCCCACGGCCAGCTCCAGAGGAAGGCACGGCCGCCTGCTTCACGAAGCCCCTTAAGTTCTGAGGCCGTCACGGGCACTGACCCGTGTTGGGAACCTGACACGGGATGAGAGCGTGTGCGGGGGACAGGGGTGCTCTGGGGTCTGTCTGTTCCAGGTGGAACGGAGAGGGTAGCTCAGAGGACAGTCACTGTCACGCCAGCCTGGGGCTCGGCTCCAGGACAGAAGCGTTCTGGGAACAGAAGGTTGGTTCCTCATGCAGTGTTGATGTTTAATAGTTTAATAAAACCACACACATGACCTTGCATGTTCCTGTCCTCTGTGGACAGACGGACTTTCACTACGACCCAGGGCACCACTCTGTGTCTTAAATTGTCTATCACGTTATCTCTACTTTGTAGCCCGGATGATACAGAAATGGTTGGTTTCTCGCAGTCTTACAGCTGCTTGATCTTACTTGGAGCATAAATAGCACTGCGGCTGGTTTCTGAGCAAGTGTTCACCGTCTCTCTGCACCTTTGCCCTTTGTTCTCAAATGAGTCCCGCCAGGCGGATGCTCGGACAGTGCGGTTTGTTGATGGGAGGAGCTAAGTGTTCACTTTTAGCCCGAAGAAGGGTGAGCCTGACCGGCCCACAGCCTGGCTGGACTCAGGGATTTGGTTTCATAAACAAACCCATATCAAGCCTGAGTAGGTACCGTCCACAAGACAGCGTGTGTTTCCACAGCTGAGATATTGTGTGTGTGTGTGTGTGTGTGTCTGTGTGTGTGTGTGTCTGTGTCTTTACCTATCCCAAGAATCGGGAATCTGATTCAGGGCTGGAAAGGTGACTTCAGACCAACTTTCCTCATACGGGGCCTGTGAAATCCCTTTCAGAGCGGTCCAGCCACATCACCAGCAGATGTTTGCTGAAGACTTGCCAGCCAATCAGGATGGAGAGCAGCCTGGTCCTTCTAGAAGGAAGCGGCAGCCCAGCATGTCGGAGACCATGCCACTGTACACGCTGTGTAAGGAGGACTTAGAGAGTATGGATAAAGAGGTGAGCCCCGGCCCGGCCGCAGCACACGCCTCACGTGTGGCCTCACCTGGCCTTCTGGTCTCCAGGGACGTGTGGGAGAGGAGGTGACGACAGCAGGAAGTGACCAGTTGGTGTATTGGCAACATAGAAGGCAGGTTTCTGCACTGACGGGCCTGACCTCCCCCTTCCACCCTGGGGCCCACGGCGGTGTCTGGCGTTGTCGCTAATGAGGGGGCTCCTGGCGTTGAGTGGGTGGGCTCCAGGGGAGCCACCAAGCAGCCTTCAGTGCCCGGGCGGCCCCCGCGTCCCCAGGACCCAGGTCGAGACACCCTCTGCCCTCTCAGGTTGCATGTAGGTTTTGAAACACACCCAGGTCGTGACTGGGAATTGGCTGTTTCACCACTAACAGGTTTCAGGCAATGTGGGTAGAAGTGGTGTTTTTCTTCCAAATGCTTAATTGTGGGAATAATGATAATAGGACCCAGAATCCCTTTTGAAGTGAAGATTAAATACAGAGGGGATTCTCCTTAGGACCAGAACAAAACTGAACTGTAGATAATTTTGCAAGTCAGCTGTTTGTCTCTGGCCCACGAGGGAAGCAGTGGGAGCGCCTGTAAGCCTGCCCTTTGTCCCTCTCGCCCTGTGTCCCGTGCCTGCCCCAGGGCCTGTGCCTCGTCCATCCTAGGTCAGGCCCCTCAGAGAAAGCCCCAGCCTGTGGAAGGTGGCTTGGGCAGCATGGCTCTGGGGCTGCTATTCTACACAGGCACCGTTGTGGACACCACACCTCACATCCCACTAAACGGAGCTGGGCCCGGATCAGGGCCGACACTCCTCCGGCCCTCGGATCTGCGCCTTAGAGACAGACAGCTCCCGCAGCCACTCAGCCACTTGTACTGCGCAGACAGAAGTCGTCCTCGGACCATCGCGGACGCCAGGGAGAGCCCTGAGGACAGAGATGCATTTCAGCTTCCTTCCAGCGGTAGCAGAAGAATGTTATGTTCAGTATAGAATCCTACCAGCAGCTCAGACCATCTTCAGATGATCATTTATCCCGTGACGCTTAAACCTGCTTTGAGATGTGCCGAATTTCTCTGTTTGCCGTTCGTTTTCTGCCTTTTTGAGCATTTAGCCAGTACACTGCTGGGGTTTGTTCATAAAAATGTTTTCTCCTAGAAGAATTTTTTTAGCCGTAAGCCTGTCTTCTTGATCGGGGATGTTCCTTGTTCTACGTGAGGGACGCTCCCTGCTGGGGGTTGGCAGGGGACAGCTGGACACTCACTTCTCTCCTCCTGCCCACCCCCTCGCCCCAGTCCTCCCAGGTGGACGGGGCGGCTTTGCTGCTGGGCACCTGCAGAGACACGGTTCAGTTTGTCAAGCAGTGGCAACGATTTTGCTACTTGTTTGTTGCACATCAAAGGGTGTCGAAATCTTAACATGAAATAACAGTGTTAAATACACTTCCCATCACTCTGAAACCTGGCTTTTCTTTCAGAAATGAAAATTAGCCTTAAAACCTTCGTTTTGGCTCTTCGGGAAGAAAGGTTTTGAAGGAGAGAGAAATCCTGGACTTGGGATTCCAGCAAACATGACTGTCGTTTTATAAATGAGGGAACCAGGGGTTGGTGTCCAGCGGTGCTCAGGGGGTCCTGCTCGATTCCCGGTGACATCTGGGCCCCAGAGAGACTGCTCGGTCAGTGCCAGGCGCCAGATGACCAGGGGAGCGGGCGCCCGGCTCTCCATCTTCCCTGCGTGGCAGGGCGGGGGCTGTGTGGGGCTTTAGGATTTGAGGCCGGACAGAGCTGGGCAGAGACCCTGTCCACCACCTGCAGCTCTGCCCAGAGATGGCCAGGCTGTGGTCTCCAGGGTCGCACGAAGGGCGGAGGCCCCCGTGGGGCCGCAGCAGGCGGCTGAGGCCAGAGAGGTGTTCCCTCTCCTTAAAGTTCAGGGGAACAGGACTACTGAAGAGGGTGCTGTGTGCTCATCTGGGCGGTGGCTCTGAGCCTGTTGTAGTTGTAGTTTACTCCACCAGAGGGGGCTCTTCAGGTGGCCCCGGATTGGCAGCGACAGGTGCTTGTCTGCTCTACACTTTGAGGACCATGTCTGGGCGCTCCACAGCCAGGGCGTCCCCAAGCACAGACGCCTCTCCCAGCCCCCAGCCGCCCGGAACCCTTCATTTCCAGGGTCAGCTCCTCTCACCAGAAGGTACATCTCACCAGCACCAAGGTGTTCTGTACTCGCAGCCTGCACCTAAACCTGATTAGGAATGCCGCTGTCCTTGTAACACGCCACGTGCAGGCTGGCGTTTCAGATGAGCATCTTTGCAGACCCAGAATCTGAGCAGAACCTCCTCGTTGCTTTTTTCAAAGAGGCAAAAGTATACGCACGTCTGGTGTGATCACCGCTGTCTTCGTCTTGTTGATGCCAGATGGTTGTATTTGTGTATTTTGGTTCACGTGAAAAAGCTGTTTGCTGAGTAGAGGCTCAGCAGCTCCCCGTCTGCCGTGGTTCAGGCAGAAGCGGTAAGGGCGTGGCCTCTGCGCGCGCAGCCCGCGTGCGGACTTTGGGCAGCGGTTCCCTTTCAGCTCCGCGGTAGCCTCTGTCAAGGAGGAGATTGTTGACTTTATTTGATAGTTTGAGGGCACGCTTTGTCTGTTTGGACCAGCGAGCACCATCCGTCAGCACAGCGAGGAAATCCTGTCTCATTTCCCACCTGTGGACATTAACACGTTTCACTGGAGAAATTGAGACCTCAGGCGCAGGTCTGCTATCTGGTGGGTTAAAGCCTTTGATACGCAGTAACCAGCGTGCCCGAAGGTGGTCCCTTGACCCCGAGAGGCCACCGTTGCACACGTGGGTAGTGCCCTCACTACCGTGGTCCATTTTGCTGCGTGTATCACGGGGCTGTTTCCCCAGGGAGATCTGCAGAGTTGCTCATCCCACCCCTGACGGCGGGTCCGCTCTGTGCTGGCGGCAAACGCTGTCTTGTGAGGATTATGTTCTGAATAAGATAGGAACATTTTCCACGAGCTTCAAAACATTGAGAAGAAGCCAGCTGATCCCAGAAGCTACTTGAAGAGCCAGCGTCAGGGAGTTGGGAGGCTGGAGCAGGCATGGTCCAGCAGCGTTTTGAGTTTGTGTTCGAAAGTCAGGGCCGTTAGCACATTTGTGATTCTTTGCGCAAATTATGATGATTCTTAGGATTGAGGTGGCCTTGCATTCTGCGTGGTTGCCATAAAGCTGTCCTTTCCCAGAGTCGGTGGCGTCTTCTCACAGCACGTTTTTGCTGGTGATCAGTTCCGTCAGCACGTGTTTTTGTTACCAGCAGATGCACAAGAAAAGCGTGGGAAGTTCTCACGGCGCCTGCCGTGCGGCGTCTGCTCAGCTGGAGGTGCACAGTTAGCACGATGCACAGGCGGCGCACGCGTCGGGGGAGCAGATGCGGGCGCGTGTGGACGGCGCCCGTGTGCCGCACCCCCCGGCCAGTGCAGGGTTGGACTCTTCCTCTGGCGCACTTGACGCGGCTGCATCTCATGCCTGCGGGCGCTCTGAGCGCACGGCACACCTCCCTCCTCTGCCACCTTCCTGCGCTACTCTCGCTCTGCGGTGGCCCGCGTGTGCCGGTGTGCGCGTGTCCCGTGTGCTGCCTTGGCTTCCGGCTCTGTTTCTGCTCCTCCCACTTTTTTTGTCTTCGACTGTTTGTTAGAAGTCGATCCCAGTCGTGCTGGGTGTGGGGCGGACAGCACTGCAGAGGCGTGAAACTCACGTTGCAGTCCACGGCCGGCAGGACAGATCTTTCCATCTTAGCCTGACTGGGCTGGTCACCTGCTAAAACACGAAACCCTGTTCTCCAGAGCTTCTACCAGGACATGATATTCAGGATGTCCAGCACACGATCTAACAGTTACTCAACCCGCGAACACAGGAACGGGCGATTCCCAGGAGAGTGACAGCAGACGCCTACCCGGGTAGCCCAGGCGTTGGGGTCATCAGACCAGCACCACGGCAGCGGGCGTGGCCGTGGCCATTGGGAGAGGCACAGCCTTGAAGAGAGTGCAGACCACGAAGAAGAACCACACGGAAGCATCAGGACTGGACACACACTCAGGCAGACGCCCTGAAATTCACCAGGAGGACCCCTGGTGACGGGAGTGTCGAGGAAAGATTACGTGAACTTGAAGACAGGGTTATAGGAATCACCCTGAGGAACAACAGGAAAACAGACCGGGCAGGGGGGTCAGAGTCTCAGGGACACCGGGGTCAAATCAGAAGTTGAATGTTTGTGTCGTCTGAGCTGATAAGAGGGAGAGATCGGTGCAGGAAAAATACTTGGGGAGATAATGGCTGAAAACCTCAGATTTGGCAGAAGACTTCAATTTACTGCCTTTGATGGCATAGACTAGTTTGGCCAGTTGTGGAATTTCTTCAAAGGTGGTCACGACATCCAGGCTCCTTCTCCCCTGGGATGGAAGCAGGCTGTGGGAAAGGCCGGCCCAGCGGGACTCAGATGGTCACGGGTTGGGGGTCGGGGTTGACGCCCGCTTGCCCTCCTCCCCCACGTGTGGGCTAAGCTGAGCTGATGCGAGGCCAGAGCACGCGTTTCTCGGGCACTGGGTGTTCTTACTGTGTGAGTTAGGAGCAGAGGTTTAATGGTTTGTTTTCACAACCACCTGAATCTTCTCCTCCTTTTGTCTTCGGCCCTTTTGCTTGGCTGGGCTCGCCCTGTGGTCCTGTTTCTGTGCAGCCCGGTCAGCCTCGACACCCGTGTGAGGTCGGTTCTCTTCCCGGGACTGTACCCGAGCCTGAGGCAGGGCGGGCGCTCCCGGGCGGGCCGTCAGGGTCAGTGTGGGGAACAGGCTCCCAAAGTCAGCGTGTCTTACCACCGTGCCATGCCATCTGGGTGTCAGGAGGTAGGCAGCCCCACAGTCGCTGTCACGGACTCCAGTGTTTTGAGGTACCGCACGTTGGGCTTCAGGAGAAACACTTGAGATTGAAGATAACGCACGCGTGGAAACAGCACGGTAGTGCCGACGCTGAGGTAGAGGCACGTCCTGGCCTGGCTCTCACTTCCCAGAGGGCCTGTTCCATAGCCTCTGCTGGGCCGGCCCGTGGGGGGCAGGTGGGTGCCAAGCGCGCGGGGACCGTCGGGCCCGGCCACCGGGGCGCTTCCTGCGGAACGCAGGGCTCTGTGGGCCCCAGGAGCGCGTCCCCTCCGCTGCTGCCGAGGGGACAGCGGACTCTGGTGGCGTCCCCCTGAAGCGTGGAGTCTAGACGAGGGTCAACCACGTGGGTGTGTGCACGGCCGCCTTCTGGTCCTTTTCCACGGGAGCGTCGTCAGAGAAAGTTAAGTTCAATAGGCCCAGTAGTGCTTTCGGTTTTATTTCGTGAGAATGCAGCATATTAAGGGGAATGACCAGGACGTTTGTTCTTCTGGCCAAGAGAGAAGTACGTTGGTGTCGGTCTAAAGACCCTTCAGGTGGTATCATTTCTACCTCACCGGAAGAGCGTTGCCTGAGACCAGAGCTTAGAATTCACGCACGCGGTCCTCGGAGGCGTGTCCTCTTCACAGGCAGTGCTGTTAGTTGCTTAGAGTAGCTCACTCGTGCACTGCGCGCGGCCCTCGCCACATCAGGTTCCCTCCCCCTGCAGGCAAAGTAACAGAATGGTGAGAAGATAGTGCTGGGACCAGGGCTGGGACGAGGCCGTGTCCCCTCTGGCCGTTCTTGGCCTGGACTTGCTGTTTCCATTTCTTCTGTTTCTCTCTCGTCTGCCTCGCTTCCACGGGTCAGAAGCTGAGATGAGTTTTACTAAGTCTTCATGACTTGCATCTTCCAAGTCGATGGATGGAAACATTCCCAAGAGCATTTGATGTCATTCGTGCTTGCCCTTTGAGAGATTTCAGTACTTGAGGAAAAAGTGAATTTTGTATTTCTCTTCACATACTTGTTTTTAGATTTTCCCTTAATTAAGATTTTAAAATATTTACACGAGCATTTTTAAAACAACATTTACAAAGTAAATGGTTCATTACAGATCCCTGTTTTTCAGGAAGTGCAAAGTTGTCCTCATACAGAACTTTATGTGAGGGAAGCCGGGGGGAGCACACCAAGCAGGGTTAAATGAGACCAGACCTCCTGCGGGATGAGCCCGCGCTGTCCGCCAGGCCTGGTGCTAATGCCACCGAGCCGCGAGCCCTTTGTGGGGAGCCCGGCACGCGGCCCAGGCTGGGGTCGCCCCGCAGTCTCTGAGCTGCTGGGATTGCGTGCTTCGGGCAGATTTTAAATGATTGGCTTCTTTTAGTTCTTTCTTTTCCCCTGCGAAGATGGGATGCAGAGTTAAAGACCTGAAGTATTTTCAGAGCAAAATTTGACAAGAGGAGGTTTGCTTATCAAAATGAAGTACAGCCATCTAAATATACCGGTGAAGTGTAAGTGCCAGTAACCTGTTAGAATTAATACAATTAGATGCTTTTTGTTAGGTGCCTTTAGTTTAACCTGAGAGGATATATTACGTGTGAAGATCTTGTGACCCCTGACGATAAAGCCAACACTTTAACTGTCAATTAAAATGTTTCCGTATTTTAACTTGTGAGGTCCCTGCGCATCGTTCCTCCCTAGACTGCGTGTTGATAGACTTGAAATTGGATACAGTGGTTCAAAGACGTCAGCCTTGGCCTGAGCGCTCAGGGTGTGGCTGGTGATCGCTGCTCTGTAGAGGGGGTGTCCCCCCCGCCCTCGAATTTAATCAGAGGGTTGGAACCCGTTCTGTCCCGTTTGCGGTGCCTTCCCCGAGGTGTCCCTGCCACGCACTGCGAGTCCACGACTCTCACAGGGAAGCGGGCCCAGTAGAGCCACGGGGAGCAGCAGGTGTGCAGGGCACACACCCAGGAGGGTGCTGCGGGCGTGGGAGGGGTGCCGAAGGGGCATCCCCTGGTCGTCCTGGGTTCTGGGCCCCACGGGAGCCTCCCTGACTCAGGGCTCAGTTAGAAGTGGGTGGTTTGCTGGAAGAAGTCAGAGTTCCCGTGAGTGAAGTCCACCTAACAGCCTTCCTTCCTTGGCGTGTTTTCTGAGCTTGATAAAGTAGCCGTCCCACCCCGTAGTTTAAAGCTCCAAAAGCCCAAGAGCCCGCATGGGCGCAGCCCTCGTCCCCCCCCACCCCCCCGCCGGCCGCCCTCTGTCTCGCATATGCCGCGCGGCCCTCGAGTGCTGGCTGTTAGCTGGGTTCCAGCCTCGCTGTGCTGGAGCCGCAGGGGGTCGTTCCCTGAGCGTTTGGTGCACAGTCGCTCTTGCTTGGTTGACCGGGGGTGTGGCAGTGCCCACCTGGCTTCGCCCTGAGACCTTCACCCGCAGCCGCAGCCAGCAGTCGAGAAGCACAGGACGCGCACGGCCCACGGGACTCCCCGACGCCAGACGCAGTCGTAAATGGGGGGTCCTGGGTTGTCGCGCGTCCTTCTGGCCAGCCAGCCGCCTGTCGGTTCCCACGCCCCTGCCAGGGCGGCTGAGAACTTGGGAAACGCAGAATCGGGCACGCGGTCGAGGCCTGACTGGTGGCGGGTGAAGGGCACACGGGTGAGGTCGGGAGGGTCCTGGCCAGAAGCCCCCGAGCCCTGTGCCTCGGGGGTTCCTAGGGAGGCTCCCTGGGGGCGGGGTGGGGTGGTAAGGTCCAGGCCGCTCATCCGCTGGTGCTTCTGGGTGACCAGCCCCACCCCAGAGTCCACCACGGTCGCCTCATTAGAGCAAAGGTGCTCCCTCGTCCAGGAGACTCCAGGGGTTTGGGAGCTCTGGCTGGGAGCTCACGGGGGCAGAGCCCGGTGAGTAAACCGCTTGTCGCTTCGCACACGTGAAGCAGCTTCACAGATCAAACTTGTTAAGTAATGACCCCGCTCTAAGGCCATAAGAACGTAGTTATGCTAGCTGATGGGACACGGGGTCTCTGCTCCTTCCTGGAAAAGGTGCTGGCGGGTCCGTGTTCAGGAAACATGGGCCCGGCCTCCTCTCACCGCTGCCTTCCCCTTTCCAGCGCCCTGTCCGCTGTCGTGGGCGTCAGGTGTCGTCGGGGTCCTGCCCCCTGCCCCCCAACCCCCCTCCCTTGCCGTGTCTGTGAACAGTTAAGCCTGAGGTCTGTCAGAGAAGACAGACGGGCAGGCACCCCACACGCGGCCGCGTGGGTCCCAGGACCCGGCGAGGTGGGTGCGGAGGAGGGACAGCCCAGGCCACCTCTGCCTCCCGTCGTGCACCCCGTGGGCCTTGTCCACGCTCCTTGGTGCTGGTCGTAAGCATCCGTCTCGCGGCAGGCCCTGTGTTGGAGCTTTACGGGGTGTCCTGCGTGCCTAGTCACGGGAAGCGGGGCCCGTGCAGAAGTCTGCGGTGGTGTCACTCCCGAGGGAGGGGCCGTTGCATGGATTCTTCAGAAAGGTGATCTGGTGCTGACTCTTGGTCCTTCGTTAGGTGGATGACATCCTAGGAGAGGGCAGCGATGACAGTGACAGCGAGAAGAAGCAGCCAGGAGATCGGGAGGACCGGCAGCGGGGACCGAGGCCCGGGCAGCCCGAGGCCCTGGGGGCCCCGAGGGGGCCCACGCTCAGGTCAGCGCCACCCACCGAGAGGAATGCAGCAGACGGCCGGGGGCCCAGGTGAGGGGGCCTGCGAGAGGAAGGGGGGCAGTCGGGGGCCCAGGAGCGGAGGGGGGCTCAGGTGCAGGGGAGGGGCTGGGAGGCGGGGGGGGTTGCCCAGGTGAGGGGGGGCCTGTGCGCTGCCCCGCGAGTGCCAGACACCTTCCAAGCGCCAGACACCTTCCGTGTTGATCAGTGCACTGTTGTTATTCTGTTGTATCTTCCCAGTGTTGTTACGGACCATGGTGTGTGGGTGTCATTTTCAAGGCAATAGTGAAGGGGGTAAGAGACCTAAAGACATCGGTCTGGGTGGTCCTGAGAGGGCAAAGGTCACTGTCCTGTTTCTGAAACATACAAAGCACGTTACAGGTTGTTTAGAATATTACGTTCGCGGTGCCCTCGATTTTTATCGTTTTTTGCGATTCAGTTACCATTTGGGCAGGTGTAACTCTTCCCCTTCATGGAGTGCAGTGCCTGTTGTAGGTGGTGGTTCGTGCCCAGGTGTGGTCGCAGCGGCCCAGGAGGCTGCGGTGGGGCTCTTCTCCCTGAGTCCCCGCTCACGTCTGGAGGGCTGCTGTGTGTGGACCCAGGATGGGACACGGCCAGGAGCAGCGTGCTGTCCACCGATGGCGGCCCCGTGCTCGGTGTCCAGCTGCACGGTGTGTTCGCAGCCCCAGGGTTTCGAGTGTTCAGAGGCAGGTCGTGGTGAGAACTGGACCCCGCGTGACCTCACGTGTGTGCAGGGCGTGGGCCGAGGGCAGCTGCCAACACCAGTGTCTGCTCTCGGGGTTACTCGGCTTGTTAGGACTGTACGTGCTGACGCTGAGTCAGGCAGGACGGCACGACTGTGCTTCCTTTTCCATTTTATTGTATTTTCCTTTACTTACTTATCGGTATGTACGTACGTACGGATGGATGTTTTGCTTTGTTTTGTTTTTGCCGTACCTCGCAGCATGTGGCATCTTAGTTCCCCAGCCAGGGATCAAACCTGTGGTAGGGGAGGGGTGGTTTCTTCCGGGATGATTCAAGCATTATGTTTATCGTGTACTCTGTTTCTGTTATTACATTGTAACGTGTGATGAAATAAGTATACAGTTTACCACAGTGCAGAATCAGTGGGAGCCCTGAGCTTGCTGTCACTTGCCACTCACTGATAGGGTTTTGATATGAGTCTGCGAGCCATTGGTTTATTACGGTCTCTGTGCAGCCAAACCTCCCTGCTAATGAGGATCTGTACCTGCAGCCGCTCCCCAGTGGGTCCCAGCGTCCCCACCTCAGCTCCACCCCAGATCATCAGGCATTAGATCCTCATAAGGAGTGTGCAGCCAGGACCCCTCGCGTGCGCAGTTCCCCACAGCGTTCATCCCCCTTGAGAATCTAATGTCGCCACTGATTTGACAGTGATGCGAGCGACGGGGGCTGCTGTAAACAGAGATGGAGCTTCGCTCGCCCGCCGCTCCCCTCCTGCCATGCGGCCCGGTTCCTAATAGGCCACGGACCAGTCCGAGGCCCAGGGGTTGGGGACCCCTGCCTTACACAGTTGTTTGACCCAGCTGCGTCTTCAGCTCCGCGTGAGGGCCCTGTGGGGCTCTCGAGGGACGTGGGGAGCTGGGGTCCCTCTGAGGAGTGCACTCCCAGAGCCCCAGTTCCACTGCTGCTGGGCTGCTCCGCCTGCCTGATTCTGTTTTCTGTGCCAAGTGAAGAGGAAGACAGAGCCTTTTCTCTGAGACTGGGAAGGACGGGCCGGAGTCCTAGGGCCCACGGCCTGCTTTGTCTCCACGGAGTCATCTGCCCACACGTGAAGTAGCTCCGGGCCACGCGGAGAAAGCCTTGCCTGCGGTGGTTCGGTGCTGCCATCGGGGCCAGAGGCGTGTGGCCTGTGTCCACCGCGGCTCCTCTCAGCCCTGCACGGTGCCAGGGAGTCCAGCGCCGGGGCCGGGGCTGTGGTCCGCGCTGGGCCAGTGTGGGGTGGGCGGGGGGGGGGGGCGATGATTGGGAGCCCCCCCTTCGCCCCGGCCCGGGTCTCCTCACCACCCTCACTGCAGCTGCTGTTTCACACCGTGCCGTGGGCCTTGACCTCAGCGCTGTGGGAATCTGAGATGAGGCCAGAGCCCATGGTCCACCCGGATGCCGCCTCCCCCGGGTGGCCAGAGACCCTTGTTCCCGCCCCCGCCTGCCCCTCCGCCGCTCGGCGTCTCCCTGTACCCGACGTCGAGTCTGCCCTGCCTCGGGGCTGAGGCGCCGTGATCGGGCTTGGGAGCTCATCCCTTTCTCTGCCCAGAAGTTGGCAAATGTGGTTTTCGCGCATGTTTTATTCTTGTCAGTGGGCTCTAGGTGTAGAAGTGTGGATGCTTTGGATTTTCCCATAGTAGCGTTTTTACTTGAAATTAAGTCAGGCATGTTTGGGGGGGTTTGTTTCTTGCCTGCGGGACATTTCGGTCCACGGCCTTTGCCGCGAGCGCTGGCGCCTTGCGCCCTGGGTCGCAGCCTGGCTTCTCCCGAGCGGTTGGCAGCACGTCCTGCCGGCCTGAGTGGTCAGGCTCTTCTACGGGATCTTAATGTCACTGGAACTTGAAGGTGACTTCTGATGGAAGGATGAGGGTGGGGTTTGGGCTTGTCCACTGAGAACTGATCCACTCTTCTTTCAAATGAACAGACATCAGACGCCCGTTTTACACATGGCAGCTGGAGGGGCACTTCCGCTCCTTGAGGTAAATCCCTGAGTAAGAAGTCAGGGCCGTGTGGCAGGCACTTGGCAGATGAGACGTCCACAGGCGTCGGAGACGCCGCCCTGGCCCCACCACTCGCAGGAGACGTGCGACGTGGAGACTCAGCCTGGGGTCTTGTGTTGTGGGCGGTCGGCTTGGCCAGCGGAAGCCGGCTCTCTCTCCCCGAAGCCTGTTCTCTAAGTGCCAGAGAGTTTAGTCTCAGCACCTTCCCCATCCCACCCGGTCCCATGGTGAACTAGTCAGGAGCGTCACTCCACTTCTAAAGGCGAAGCTCCTGACCCGAGTCCGGGGCTCCCACCACCCGGTCCTCTGCCGCCTCCCCTTCTCCGCAGGGGTGCGGTGGCCGGGGTCCCGGCCGAACGTGTAGACAGACGGTGCGAAGTTGTGCAGAGGCCCTCATGCGTGAGAGCTGTTCTCAGTGCTGGGTGGTCACCTAGGCAAGGCTGTCTTTACTACACTGGGGACGTTGGTCATTTCTAAAGATGGAGGAGACGTGGGCCCGGTGTTTGTGACCAGAGAGCAGACCCAGCTCTGCTGCCGCGGTGGAGCCCGAAGGCCGCTTCGCAGCCAGCCCTCCACCTCCACGCTGTCGCTGCCTTGCCGTCGGACACCTTCTGTCTGTGCTGCCAGCTGGTGACCCTGGGACCGAGGTGCTTGGCTCAGGTTGTAAATTCCCCAGGCTGTGGCCGAGGAGCTGCCCTTCTGTCGCGTGGACACGTGGCTTCCCGTCGATTCGTGTGTCGATTTGTGATGTTTAACCTGCCGTAGCCGACAGCACCGTGGTGACACCCTGGGGCCCAGCCCTTTGCGTGTGCGAGCTCATCACACACAGTCTGTTTCTGAAGGCGGGATCGCCGAGGTCGGAAGGCCTTCGCACTCTTGACCTGGTAGCCGCTTTGAGTTGCCCTCCGACCGTGGAGGGTCGTGCTGATGGTGAGGGGGCTGGCTGTCCCCCACGCTCCCTGCCATGGTGCTTTGTGACGGCTTCTGGACCCTGCAGTGTGGTGGATAAAAAGCGGCGCTCTTTTAGTTGTGTGTGCCTTTCTCTCTCCCTGCACTGAGCCCGCGCCCAAGGCTGGACCCCAGAGACGTTGCGCTGTTGGGGGGGTGGGGCTGGTGCCGGTGCAGCAGCTTCCCCAGAACAGCCCCGCCCTGGGGGGAGGGGAGACCAGGGCCCGGAGTGGCTGCAACGCAGTAACTAAAACGTCCAGTTTCCAGCAAAAAGAATCACGAGACATTGGAGAGACAGAAGAATGATCCACAGACAAGACAGAAGAGGCCAGAGAAGCTGCCCGAGAGGGCGACCGCGTATCAGAGGAGCAGACGGGATACCTTCCCAGAGCCGCGGAGACCGAGAGCTGCCGAAGGGTCCTGGGGACAGCGTCTCAGACGGCACCTCCAGGCCCTCGGCGCGCACGTGGCAGGACTGCCGGGGACGTAATGACTGGCACCTTCCCAAATGTGACGGGGAATGTCATCTGACACATCCCGGGAGCTCAGGGCCCGTTTTTCAAGTAAAAACGCTACTATGGGAAAATCCAAAGCGTCCACACTTCTACACCTAGAGCCCAGCTCAGAGATCCCCATCTGCACGCTCCACGGCAAAGATGCAGGAAGCCAAGACCAGGACAGGGGCCAGAAGACTTTGTCTCAAAATAGGTGACGTCACCTGAGTTCTCAGGCTTTTCAGAAACAGTTGAACAGATGTGGCCCGTACGATTTTTCCTTGGAACGTGCCCTCTCGCCCTGTGGCCCTGACCTGAGCACACGCCCTGGAGCCCGGTGTTGTGTTACAGTGACCTACACGTGCACCTCTTTGAAGAAGCAGCAGAGCCTCCGCTGTCGTGACCGGACAGGGCAGGCAGGAGCCCACGCGCGTCCTCTCTGCCTCGGGGTCTGGACGGCCTTCCACACCCCAGGGCAGGTGCTCCCCTGCACACACGTGGACACATGCACACACGTACCTGAAACAGCTTTTGTTAGGTAAAATAGTGACCTTACCACCTGCCGTGCTGCTCTGTTCTTTTTCTTTTTGCCAAAAATACCAAGCTAGTTGTAACCAGCAATTTGAAAAATAAATGCGTTATGGATTGTTTGATCTTGTTGGTTAGACACCGGTATGAAATAATAATGTGTGTTTATTTGCCGTAGTTGCTAAAATAATTGTGCATCTTATTAAACAGCAGACTTCAGGTGTGGGTCCACGTGCCTCTTTACAGCAAAGAGCTCAGAGGCTGGGACGTGAGGGAGGAAACGTACATATGTGATTTATGTTCCTGTTCACGTTCTTGCTTTATTCCACGTTGAGTCTGAGCTGATTCTTGAGCCTTAAATTTTCCCCAAATTAAATCTGTTAGCGTTTCTCTAGGGGACTGTGCTGTTGGTTGTGAAAGCAGAATACAATTATTGCAGGCTCTGCTGAGAGGAAAGGAAGCTGGTATCAATTTTAGGCATTTATTAACCATGACTTGCAGCTGTGTCCAGTCTTTGAGGCGATCTTTAATTACTAAAACTCAATCGTGTTGGATATAGGAATACTCCAAACATTGTTTAACCGAGACTGAAGGTTTTGCTCTTCCCAGCACAAGGCACTGCCGCTGTGGCCCCCGACCCTGGTCCCCAGGCCCCCGGACACGGCCGCACGAGCGGACACCGAGGTCCCAGGGTCTCTCCCGCAGGACCAGCCGGGCTCAGCACAGTCAACATTTGTCTCTCTGCACAGAGGCTGCGACAGCCGTGGGGTCCTGCCTAGCTGTTAGCTGGCGTCGCCCTGGGGGGTGGGGGGGACACCCTGTGCAGCCCGTTCTGTCCCAAAAGGCTGCCCTGCAGCGGGGTCTCCAAGGGCAGTGCAGGAGGTTTTATCAACAGGACGCCCCGGGATCAGCCTCCTAGGGCCCTGCACTTCTCGTGCCCTGGGGTCCCTCCCAGGCCCCCCTGTGCCACCTGTGGAGCCGTCCCCGCAGGAGAGCACCAACCCCGGCCGACGCAGCCGGGCGCCGTCCACTGACTCAGCCTCGGCTTCCTTGTTGCAGCAGCTCGGGGTGCGTGAGGGTCTCTGTACACAGGCAGAGGGCCCGGCCCTTCCTGGACCTGGGGGCTTCCTCACCAGTCGCGGGAACACCTCCTCTTTGCCCTTGGATTTGGTACTTCCTGGAAACTCGTCCCCTCCGTGACCAGAAGACGGGGATCTGCTTTACAGCACGAGCGGCACCCGCCCCGAGGACACCCAGGAGGCGGGACACGCCGGAGGTGGAAGGCGGTCGGGGAGGAGCCTCGAGGACAGACCACGTCCCCACGTGCTCTCAGCACCGCCGGCGGTGCAGCCACAAGTGGGGGCCTGGAAGGTGGGGTTCAGCCCCCTCTGCCCGCCACCCGCAGCTGAGCACAACTCAGGCCTGGGGGCTGACTCTGCTCTGCTCTCGTGTGTGTTACTGCTGCACACGCACACACACACACGACCGCCCAGTTCTGTCCCTGGGAGGCGGTGCTGGGCACTGCCCCGTGGAGCGTGGGTGTCGTTGGGGTTAGGAGAAAGCAGTCTCTCTAAACTGTTCCATCTACACGTCGTTTCTAAGTTTATCTGTTGTGTTCACTCAGCGAAGGGGAATCGTGTGAGTGCCTCAGATTAATTACGCTTTACGCTCAACACCATCTTTGGTTCCACCATCTCTCGCAAATCCAGAGTTAACCCTGCAGTGTGTCTGAGGGGCTGGACCCTCGGGCCGCATGTCTGCTCAGATTTGGCTCGAGTTGGCGAGGCCCGGGCGCCGTGTCCCAGCCGTGGCTGTGCTCGAGCAGCCACCTTGGTCAGTGTTTGTCCTGAAAGCACATCACAGGGTCCACATGGCTCCGTCCTCTTGTCCAGATCCTGGCGCCCTCCCAGCCGCCGGGTCGCTTCCCATCCGCGCCCCCTTCCTGCACCGACCTCCTCCCGGTGCCGCCGGGACCCGAGAGGAGGGGTTTCTTTCGGGTTTACTTTCCCTTCCAGCCGCGAGTGCTGCCGAGCCAGGCCACAGCGGCTGGGCAGGGGCGGCACTGGGTCGCAGTAAGCGCGCGCTTCCCCTTCAGGTCACGTGCTCCCTCCGGGGCCGGGGTCCCTCTCCTCTGACTTCTGCCAGCCTGGGGGCTGAATGTGCTTCCTGACAGGCACCTTGATTCGCTTTTCAAATTACGTCGTAGTATCTTTTTCAGTGTTCGTTGGCCCTTTTTTCTGCCAACTGCCCTTTTCTGTTTGAGGAGTGTTTCTCACAATTAGGTTATTCCTTGTCTGTTGTAGAAATTTCTGTGTGTTATAGGTCTTAGGTTATAGACGTCATAGTCTTGCGCGTCATTTTCCCAGTCTCGTGTGTGTCTGTGACTGCTTGATGCCTTTTGTGTCTCTAAGAGGTAAATCTTTTGGGGGGTTTCTTCCCTTCAGAAGGTTTCCCCAAACCATAGTAGTTGTGGGGGGGGGTCGTATATATATTCCTACGTAACTTTTCGATAAATGGTGCGACAACAGCTGTAAACTGTTGATGTCCAAATGCAGAATAATTAACCGTAGCCCACAGTCAGAAATGTACTCAGCGGTTAACTCAAAATAGATTTCATAGACCTGAATGTAAAACATACACTCGTCTGCTGGCGGCTGTCCCCGCCTCCCTTCCCAGCGGCTTGTCCAGCTCCAGCTGTAGCCACCGAGCTCGCTCCAGGCCCCTCCCTCTCCCGCCTTCACACGTCCTGGGTATTTCGTTACCTGCCGGAGACAGAGGCTGCCTTGGTGCCCAGCCTGTGCTGTCAGGGCTGTTCCGGAAGCATGGGGGCTGGCGGCCGAGGGGCCGGGGAGCGTGTGCGCCACGAGCATCTCACGGTGCGTGTGCTTCCCTTGCAGGGGCCACAAGAGGAAGCTGAATGAAGAGGACGCAGCCAGCGAGTCCAGCGGAGCGTCCAGCTGCGAGGACGAGGAAGGGGGCAGCTCGGAGGCGGACGAGATGGCGGCCGCGCTGGAGGCCGAGCTTGGCGACCTCATGTGACCGCGGGGCGTGCACTCGACTCACCTCCGTCCTGGGAGCTGCCCCTCCTCCAGAGGGACATGTCTGTTTGCAGAGCTCCACCTGCAGAAACACACTGTTTTGCAGAAAGAGGTGTTTTTAGAAGTTTCACTACAAGAAAGCCTACTTGTTAAGGACAGCGGGGCAGGGAACGCGGCCATGCCAAAGATCCTGGGTGAGCCCAGCAGAGCTGCACAGCGGGACTGGAGTTGGCGGCTTTTTATCAGGAAGACGGGGGGTGTGGGGAGGTGTTTTTCCTTTAACTAGGCAGCACATTGCTTAGGGTGAAGGCTGGGCGTCCGACCAGACAGAGGGGTGAGGCGGCAGCAGCCCAGCATCCTCCTGCTTTTTCACGACTGAAGCTACCAGAACATGCACAGGTTTCAAGCGAGGCCGTGCATCGGCGTGTGACGAGGACAGGCCTGGGGCCCCCAGCTGCCCCCAGGGCCCTGCAGCTCCCGCGGGCGCCGGGACAAAGGGCCCTGCCCTCGCGGGCATGTAAAGTTTTGTATATCTATTTCATACATGACCCACCAAACAGATTTTTCTTTCCTTTAATAAAAGTCCCTTTTGTAAGCCTTCTGCTCTGCCCCGTTCCCTCGTCACGAGATCCAGCTCTCGCGCCACGTGCGTGGGTGAGCTGCCCTGTCCCGCTCCCCTCCAGGGCGCTCACGGGGCCGATTCCTGGGTGAATGACCAGGGCCTTGGACGCTGAAACAGAAAAGCAGATGACCCTCTCAAGCCGGTCCGTGGCTGTTAGTCTGTCCCTTACTGCACCAAAGCTTTAGAAATGCCAAGGACCGGTGTTGTTTCTAATCACTAGATTTATGATAATTTGACCCAAGACACCCAAGGAAACCAGAGGCGATTCTGACCTGGGAGCTCAGTGCTGACAGGGTGTGAAACATCGTATTCAGTGTGTCAGCCAGACAGCATGGCCACGCGTGGTCCCACCCCTGGGGTCCCAGGTCTCACCCACAGGCCCTGTGTGCTCGGGCAACCCCAGGAAGACCCCACCCAGTACCGCTGACCTGAGACCCCTGGGCGGTAACGCTGGTGAACTTGCCTTCGTGCCTCCTCTGAGACAGCCCCTTGGTCCTTCCTGCGTGATCCCTCCAGGTCAGGCTGCAGGTGGAGGGAGCAGAGCCCGGGGTGTGCCTGAGATGCTGCATTCCTGTTGTGTGGAGGGGCAGCCCCTAGGCTGCCGGATCACCAAGACACAGAAGGTGTGCCCCCTTCCAACTCTAGATCAGCACACAGCAAACGTTCTTCTTTGCATTTTCTGGGCTAATTACTGGATTAAAAGTGAGTTAGGCTCAGGCTGTGTCCTTTTCACACTCTTCAGTTGCAGGTAACAGCCACAGCTCCAGTGGGCCTGTCTTCCTGTATCTATCCACTGGCTTGTCTGAGAAGTGGGGTGGAGCTTCAGGTACGGCTGGATCCAGGTGTTCACCAAATGCTCAGGTGTCATTGGGAACTTGAATCCTCCTCCCATGGTTTGTCCTCTCTTTGATGGTCAGATGCCACCCACCCTCTGGATGATGGGGTTGGGGGTGGGGGAGTGGGAATCATGATGCACATGGGACAGGTGTGGGCCAGCAGACGTCAAGAATCTAGGCACAGTCCCCGCCTAGTTTCCTCACCAAGGTGAGTGTACCTTCGTGTACTTGCCAGTCTCCACAACAGCAGTGTGAGGCTCCGGGATTCCCGGTCAGAACCATTTCTGGGGAGCAGCAAGGGGGAGGCCCCTCTGATGGGTCTGTACTAGGGCAGGAACGGAGAAGACAGAACTGGGAACGTGACTGATCTCAAGGTTTCCCGCTGAAACCCGACACAGCGCCTCGGGTGGATATCCCTTAGAGGGCTGGGGGTAGTTACACAGCCTCGGGTGGATGTCCCTTAGAGGGCTGGGGGTAGTTACACGTCTCCTTGCAGCCTTGTTCTCAGTGGCATGTGCTTGGAATGCTGAGCCGTCCCGGGGGCCGGGGTGGCACCGAAGGTCCCCGGGGCCCCTTGAGCTTCCTGAGGAGGTGGCACCACCTTTGGGGGAGGGTTGCCTGGGGGACCTGCGTGCTGTCTCACAGAGAGAAGTGCGCTCGAGTCAGGGAGATGCTGGATAATTTGTGCAACTCCTCCAAGTGACATCTTTTCTAGAAATTTTAATAGGAAGCTTGAACTTGCCATCCTGAACGTAACTTAAACGTCGGGCTTTATGCTTAAGACAGCTGTCTGAAAATTCATGACCAGGAATTGGGAGAGAATCCCTTCGGTCCATGAGAAATCTTTGGACAAGCAGATCATAAATTTAAGCCACTTTTTACAAACAAAAGTCTGTGGCGCTGGAAATGTAGTGAAATTTTACCCTCTTTCTTGAGAAGCGGAATGTTGAAATTTTGTGTAAACGTGGGTGGATCTCATGTCCCATCTGAGTTTTTCATGTTTTTTCACGTTTTTAAAACAACCGTGAAGCTGTGACGTGGGGACACCTGTCGTGTGAGTCTGACCCGTCTGTGGGCCCACCCCACGCGGAAACCCGAGTCAGGGCCGGGGGCTGCCCAGGTGTCAGGGCGGGGGCATGGGTGTTCCCTGCAAGGACCCGGGCTGCCCCCCACGAGCAGAAGAGCCTGATGACCAGAGCCACCCACTCGTGCGCCACAAGGGCCAGCTTCACGGTACACGCCTTGTATTTGCAAAGTCAGATTCAATCCAGTGTGGACTGCTGAGTGTGTACACGCACACACGTTCAGAGCTGCAGCCTGGGCTTTACATAAAGCTTTTCCATTTTGAAAGTGCTGCCCAGGTGGAAAAATTTTCAAGTACAACAAAGGAAACAGGCCGTTCATCACCCCACCCAGAGGTGACAGTCGCATTCAGCGTTTAGTCCTTTCTTGTGGTCATGAGCCTGGCTTTTTAAAATTAATCTAATTGTGAAATTTTAACATAGACCCCATCGAAGATGAGGAAGGAAGATTGCTATAATCCTGCCGCCAAATCTACCACATTAGCGTTTCAGTGTATTGTTTTAGCTTCTTATGCATATTGTTTTAATAGAGTTCAGTTTTTCGAGCAGCTGAAGGCTAGAGCACCGTCGAGGGGGAGGTGTGGATCCTTCCTGTACACCCCCTCCCGGCCCGTGCACGGTCTCCCCCACTATCAACACCCCCACCAGAAGGGACATTTGTTACAACTGATGCACCTATGTCCATACATCATGACCCACAGTCCACAGTTTATGTTAAAATTCACTCTGGGTGTTGTACATTCTGTGGGTTTGGACAGATGTGTAATGACACGTATCCACCATCATGGGGTCATACGGAGTGTTTTCACTGCTGTGAACATCCTCTGTGCTCCCCCTGTATCTCCCTCCCTCCCCCAGCCCCCGGCACCACTGATCTGCTCCCCGGGTCCACAGTTTTGTCTTTTCCAGAATGTCCCGTAGTTGGACACAGTGCTCAGCCGTTTCAGATGGGCTTTTTTCACTTAGCAACACGCGTTTACGTCTCCTCGTCTCCTCCATGTCTTTTCATCGTCGATATCCAGCATGCAAAAGGCAGGCTGCTGGAGGCTCCGTGAGACAACCTGGCTTCTTCTAAAGATAATTAGCGAGAAAAGCAGAAGAGATGGAGGGGAACCTATTGATTAAAGACAAGCACGCCCGCCAATCCCAGCGCGTGGGCTTGTTTGGGTCCTAATTCACACAAACTGAAAGTAACAGACACAGCGTGACAACAGGCAATTTAAACATGAACACGTGTGATATTAATGAATATTGTTCACTTACTTTAGGTGAAGTGTAGCTCTTTTAGGAGCCTCCTTTTTAAGAGGATGTACTGAAAGATTTATGATGGAATGGCATGATGTCTGGGGTTTGCACTGGAACAGTACGAGGCACAGCGGGCGGGCTGAGGCTTGGAGGGGAGCAAGGTCAGTGCAGTTTTCACTGGAGAAGCTTGAGTCCTGCCTACTTTGTATGTGTTTGGAATTTTCTGTAATAAAAAGTGACAACAACATGAATAAAGTCGCTCGGTCTGAGTTTTAAAGATGCACAGAACAAGGCCAGTTGCTTTGTAGTGAAAGGACGGTTCGGTTGGTCCCACACCCCAGGCTGCAGGCCCAGGCCCCAATCGTCCCAGACCCCAGGTGGGCAGCTGGCCTGGCCCCCGTTGTCGGCTTTCCTCCCAAGGGTCCCCTGGGGCCTGAGGTCAGCAATGTCTGTGGCCCACGCTGGACCTGCTGTAGTGCTCGCTTAGCCCTGCTGAGCGTATGACCCCCCCCCAGGCACACACACACGTACATGTGGGAGCACACGTGTGCACACACGGTGTGCGTGCACGCACACGCCACCGTTCAGGGTTGACTGGTGCCGCATCCACGGGAGATGGTCTCCCGCGGGCTCTGACCTCTCTAACAGCTGAGCGCCCGCCGCATCCTGGCACCAACCAGGGACCATCTGTGCGGAGACGAAGGCCCCTAAGGACCTGGCCTTAGAGTCTGAGCTCCAAGCAGCAACACGAGTTGACAAGGTCACCATGTGTCGTGTCACCCGAGAGGCTGGACCGAGTTCCACAGCGCTCTCTGGGCAGCTGCTTCCAGGCTCTCTGACTCCCCCAAGACGACAGTGCTCCAGAAAAGTCGGCCTGGATTCGAGGTTGGGGACGTCCTGGCTTCCTGTGTGTGCTGCAGAGATCACGGTCAGGACCCCCGGCTCACGCCACGGGGGACGAGGGGCCGCGACAGGTTGGGTCAGCCCTGCAGAGAGAGCCCCCCGTGAAGTCTGGGGGCCCCGACCTGCTCGCCCTGTGAGGGGCCCCCTCAGAGCCCGTCAGGGTCTCTCCCCTGCCCTCTGCAGAGGCTCCGGTCGCTGGGGAGAGGCTGGGGAGAGGCTCAGAGGCAGGTCCCGTCCAGCTGCATCTCAGGGGGCGGAGCTGCCACCCAGCACTCGGCCGCCATCGCCATCGTCACGTCTGCTGAGAAGGAAACAGGTCAAAGCCGATGGGCGCCATCCTGCTTGCCCTCGGGGAGGCGGGAGCCGCCTCTGGACCAGGGTCTCCAGGGGCCACCCCGGACTCTGCGGGCAGCTCCGCCTGGGTAAAGACCCGGGGCTGCGGAGCCGGCAGCCCCTCCTTGCCCACGGTGATGCCCCCCAAGCACCCCAGGGTTTCCTCGTGGACTTCGTGAGAAGAGGCAGCCCCCCGCCTCTGGGCTGAGATTAACGTGTGGCCCTGGTTCCTCTCTGTCCCAAGAGAGTCGCCACCTCGACCGGCACGGCGAGCACCGAATCCCGCTGCTCCGAGATTCACTCCGACAGCAAGTATGTCATGGATTCTGTTCCCTCGGGACGAGGGGGGCCAGTCCACAGCCGCTTTATCGTTAGAAACAAAGTGAAGCCACGGGCCCCCGGGGATGAAAGGAGCCCAGCTCCCGGAAGCGGCTCCACCCGTGTCCCCGGATGAAGTGATGCGGGAGCCCCCGTCTGAGCCCTGAGTGGCGCCCGCCGGGGCCCAGGCAGCACCCCATGACCTTCTGCTGCTCCAAATCCAGCGGGTTCCCGGCAGCAAAGAGCATCCGTATTCTCCCCC